CCTCCTCCTCCTCCTCCTCCTCCTCCTCCTCCTCTTCCTCCTCCTCCCCCTCCTCCTCCTCCCCCCAGCACTGATGATATTACCTAGCTGTACATTGTGTATACTTCTGGGATAACTTTGCTGCTTTTGATTGGCACTGATCTCTTTTCTTTCATCGGCTCCCACAGATGAAACTTGCACGGCGATTATCAGAACAGCCCGTTCCCTCAAGCTGGACATTGAAAAACTAGGTATGCTGTAAATCCAAATATGGGGGGTGTGTGTCCTTGATGCTCTGGGGTGCTTGCCCCATTTTCCCCACCACATTCGTTAAGCGGATCACTGCTCAGTTCTCAAATTAGCAACACGGTTGTTCAGCGAATCCGGTTTCCCCGCTGACTTTACTTGTCAGAAGATCGCAAAAGGAGATCACATACCTTCCCCCAACCCACCCGGACCAGTGGTGAAATGTAAAATTTGTTACTACCGGTTCTGTGGGCGTGGCTTGGTGGGTGGGGGAAGGTAATGTGACTGGGTGGGCGTGGCCAACTTTTTTTTTTTAAAACTTTTAAAACCATTTTTTCTACAACCTCTTCAGCCGAAGAGGTTGTTTAAAAAATGCTTTTAAAAGCCTCTGAGGATCCCAGCTGAGTTGCCTGATCAGTAGAGGCTTTTTTTTCTTTTAAAAACATTTTTTCTACAACCTCTTCAGCCGAAGAGGTTGTAAAAAAAAAATGCTTTTAAAAGCCTCTGACGATCCCAGCTGAGCTGCGGGATTATCAGAGGCTTTTTTTTTTTACTTTTAAAAGCATTTTTTCAGTAGAAAAAATGTTTTTAAAAATAAAAAAAAAAGCCTCTGATGATCCCGCGGCTCAGCTGGGCATTTGGGGGTGGGGGGGACAGGGATGTTTGCTACCGGTTCTCCAAAACAACCGCCACCCTCGCAATCGGATCAGGCGATCCGGTCTGAACCAGGAGCATTTCATCCCTGACCCAGATGCTGCAACTGTCATAAATGTGAGTCAGTTGTCAAGCATCCAAATGTAAATCACCTGACCACGGGGAGGCTGCAACGGTCATAAGTGAGAAAAAAGTCACTTTTTTTCAGTGCCCTTGCAACATCGAACAGTCACTAAGTGAATTGTTGTTAAGTCGAGAACTACCTGTACTATTTGTATTTTTCGGACTATAAGACGCACCGGTATATAAGACGCACCAAGATTTCGAAGAGGTAAGCAAGAAAAAAAAAAACATTTTTGCCCTCCCCAGGCCCCAGGAGCACTCTGCAGGCCCATTTTTTTTTGCAAAAACGGGATGTGCGGGGCTGGGCTTCGGAAGGCCAACAAGGCTGTATTTGGTGTATAAAACGCACCAACATTTCTCCACCCTCTTTTAGAGGGGGAAAAAGTGCGACTTATACTCTGAAAAGTAAGGTAATTAACTCATCCGTGATCCAAGACTAAAGCAAGCTTCTTATTCCTCCTTTTCTTGGCCATCTCTTGGAAATATTTCAGTTCCGGCTGTTTCTCTTATCCAGCTCACCCAAAACATTCTGAAGGGCTCTAAGCCACCGGTTGTCCTTTTTGTTTTTGTTTTACATCATCTTTTCAGTGGCCCAGTTTCAAAACCAGCATATTCAGAAGTGCTGTCGGATCGGAGCGGAGCCTTACCCCTTCCCGCAGACGTGTCAACAGAGAATCAAACGCATTAAGGGTGGGGCGAGGTGCGTTTACGCCTTCCGGCTTTGCTGCGAGTTTGCTTTTAAGAGACGCCTTAATGATACGCACAAGCATCTACTACTGGGGAGAAATGGTAGGTATACGCCTAGCATACCTACCTAGAAAAAGCGATAGCCCTTAGATTTATATACCACTTTACAGTGCTTTTACAGCCCTTTCTAAGCAGTTTACAGAGTCAGCATCAGCATAGGTAGACAGGTAGGTAGGTAGGCAGTCAGGTAGACAGACAGACATAGATGGGTGGATGGATGAATGGACGGACAGACGGATAGAGCAATAGCAATAGCCCTTAGACTTATATACCGCTTCACAGTGCTTTTACAGCCCTCTCTAAGCAGTTTACAGTCAGGATAATAGATAGATAGATAGATAGATAGATAGATAGATAGATAGATAGGCAGGCAGGCAGGCAGGCAGGCAGGCAGGCAGGCAGGCAGGCAGGCAGGCAGGCAGACAGACATGGATGGACAGATAGAAAAACAACAGTAGCCCTTAGACTTATATACCACTTCACAGTGTTTTTACAGCCCTTTCTAAGCAGTTTACGGAGTCAGCATCAGCATAGATAGGTAGTAGGCAGACAGGCAGGCAGGTAGGTAGATAGACAGACAGACATAGATGGGTGAATGGATGGATGGATGGATGGACGGATAGAGCAACAGCAATAGTCCTTAGACTTATATACCACTTCACAGTGCTTTTACAGCTCTCTCTAAGTAGTTTACAGTCAGGATAGATAGATAGATAGATAGATAGATAGATAGATAGATAGATAGATAGATATGGATGGATGGGGCAACAGCAATAGCCCTTAGACTTATATACTGCTTTAGAGACCACTCTAAGTGGTTTACAGATTCAGCCTGTTGCCCCCAACAATCTGGGTCCTCGTTTTACCAACCTCGGAAGGATGGAAGGCTGAGTCTACCGTGAGCCAATCAGGATCAAACTGCTGGCAGTCGGCAGAATTAGCCTGCAATACTAATTCTAACCACTGCGCCACTATGGCTCCTAGATACAGTACTAGGCAAGCATTCAAATTTTGATCACGTGACAATGGGGATGCTGCAACTGTTGTTAAGTGTGAAAAACGGTCCTGAGTTCCTTTTTTAAGGGGTGTTGTAACTTCAAACAGTCACTAAATGAACGGTGGTACATTAAGGACTACTTGTATAGCCCTTTTATTTTGATTTGTTAACTGATGTTGTGTTTTTGATATGTCCAATAATTTTTTTTTTATAGCCTTTAACGCTCTATTGGACGTGGCCCCGCAAATCCGAAGTTTTTTCCCTGAAAGTTGGCTTTGGGAAGTCCATCCAGTTCAAAGGTACAATATTGAATAATGTTGACTCCTTAGAGGTGATTCAATCTCTTTATTAAATGTGTTATAATCCCACAAAAGCTGTAGGAGGTGAGCAGGCTGAGCCTGAGGGAGGGGTCAAACTTGTCATCAGTCACAACAGAGGTGGGATTCAGCAGATTCTGACCAGTTCTGGAGAACCGGTAGCGGAAATTTTGAGTAGTTTGGACAACCGGTAAATACCACCACTGACTGGCCCCGCCCCCATCTATTCTCTGCCTCCCAAGTCCCAGTTGATTGGAAGGAAATGGGGATTTTGCAGAATCCTTCCCCTGGAGTGGGGTGGGAATGGAGATTTTACAGTATCCTTCCCCTGGAGTGGGGTGGGAATGGAGATTTTACAGTATCCTTCCCCTGTCACGCCCACCAAGCCATGCCCACCAAGCCATGCCACACCCACCAAGCCACGCCTACAGAACCGGTAGTGAAAAAATTTGAATCCACCACTGAGTCCCTGCATACCCGCAAGATATTTAACTCCAGCCCACCTTGAATTCCTTTCTTATCTCCCGCTCATTTCCCTTGACCGTTAGTAGCTCAGATTCTATTGGAGAGCTCAAGCTTGCAATAAATCTTGATACTCATTTTTTTGAACTGCCTGGATTTTCTGATTTCCCTGGCACTTGGCCTCTTAGACTTAGAGGACCTCTGAAGTCCCTTCCAGCTGTAGGATTCTATGATTCTATCTGCACTGAAACTAATAAATCAGTTCTTGTTTTTATATCAAACGCAGGTCCAAGAATCTGCCGGTCACCCTTCCTGATTCTCTAACTACCTGGGAAATACAAGGTGTTAGCATTTCGGATAAAGGTATGTAAAATAATTTATTTATATAGGTTTTGTCAGAGTTTCTTGCAAAAATCAAATCCAGGCGCACACACAGATTGTTATTCTTATAACAATCTTCTTATATTCTTCTTATTTCCAGGTCGAATCTCTCCTTGTACAGTTTCCATCCATTGTTCCTTGTCTGGCCGTCGGGTGCCTTGTAAAATAGCTCCTCCTTTCTGTGGCAGCCCCTCCAATATTTCCTTCCTGCTAGCATTGAAATAGGCATGATATGACCAACGAAAGTTTATTCATGTCTTTTCTTTTCTGTCTGGTACACACAGGTATCTGTGTCGCTGACACTCTCGAAGTGGAAGTCATTAAAGATGTTTTTGTTAATGTCCACATTCCATACTCCGTTGTCCGAGGAGAGCAAATAGAATTAAAAGCAACCATTTACAATTACAGAACATCGAAGTCTAGGGTAAGCAAGCGGTTTAAAAAATGTGGCTTAAGAGCCACTCCTTGTTTTCAGGGGCGACAATAGATTCTTGGAAATAGGTGGCCTTTAGACTAATTTCCTGTATGAAAATAATAATGATTCCTTCTCCTTCTCCTTCTCCATCTCCTTCTCCTTCTCCTTCTTTTCCTCTTCCTCTTCTCCTTCTCCTCCTCCTCTTCCCCTTCCTCTCCTTCCCCTTCCTCTCCTTCTCCTCCTCCTCCTCCTCCTCCTCCTCCTGTTATATCTGCCATGTCAAGTTATGAGGATGAGAAGCACTGCTCTATATTGTTAGAAATACTACTCTACCAAAATAACATAATGTATTGTGCCTTTTTTAAACCAGGGATCTCGAAACTTAGGAACTTTTAAGACTTGTAGGCTTCAACTTCCAGAATTCACCAGCCAGTACATGCTGACTAAGGGATTCAGGGAGTTGAAGCCTACAAGTCTTAAAGTTCCTAAGTTTGAAGAGATTCTTCTTTTAAAGTAATATCATTAAAAGAAAAAGTGAGCACCCTGGTGCTCTATTTAGTGTTGTTTCTACTGGCATATTGTCCTCTGCTACTAATTCTTCACGGTGACTGTTTCAGTTTTGCCTGAGGATCAACGTGCAAAAAGGAATCTGCCTCTTTGGTGCCGCTAACACCTTAAAGGATGGTTCACAGACCAACACCTGCTCTCCCCGCCATAAGGACATCCAGAGTTCTTCTATTATGGTGGAGACATTTAAAGTTCTTCCTCTTGAGTTAGGCCTCCTCAGCGTCAACCTCACACTTCACAGCGACTCGGGCAAGGAAATCCTCGTCAGGACATTAAGAGTGGTGGTAAGGCTGAGACCTTGGTCTTGGGTAGAGGGGAGGATTTTCCATGCATCTCCTTTAATTCTTTATTGGCCAAGTGTGACTGGACACGCAAGGAATTTGTCTCCAGTGCATAAGCTCTCAGCAACAAAGTAATATAATTACAAGATAGAAGAGACAGAAATAAAGGGAATATTAATGTATTACATTTTTATTTGATAAAATGAAAGTAATAATGAGAAATAGGTGGGATAATTGAATAATGCTAGACTGTATCCTAATATAGATGTGTATTGTTATGGGAATTTCATAAATTGATTGTAATGTAATAATAATGTTTAATCTGATCAGTTTTGTTTGTATTGAAATATATGGCGCCCAAATATATATATTAAGTGTTTTTCTATCGAGGCACCTGGTCTAGCCCAGCATCTGGGAGGGAGCATACTGCATCCCTTTAGCCTTTCAGCTCCAATCCAGGAGCCCTCAAGCAGTCGCAATATAAATTTATATATATACCACAAAGAAGAGGGGCTCAACCTATTTTCCCAAGCACCTGAGGGCAGGACAAGAAGCAATGGGTGGAAACTAATCAAGGAGGGTAGCAACTTAGAACTAAGGAGAAATTTCCTGACAGTGAGAACAATTAACCAGTGGAATAACTTGCCTCCAGAAGTTGTGAGTGCTCCAACACTGGAAGTTTTTAAGAAGATGTTGGACAAGCATTTGTCTGAAGCGGTGTAGGTTTTATTGCAGGCTAATTTATTTATTTATTTATTTATTTATTTATTTATTTATTTATCTATCTATCTATCTATTTATTTATTTATTTATTTATTTATTTATTTATTTATTTATTAATTTATTAATCAAATTTCTATACCGCCCTACTCCCGAAGGACTCAGGGCGGTGAACAGCCAAGATAAAAGACAGATAATACAAATATTAAAAATCCCTTAAAATTATTAAATATTTTGGCCGAAACACAGATTAATAAAATCACGAATTAAAAAAATTTAAAAGAGGAGAGTTAGGCCAGGCCAGCTTGCTGAAATAGAAAAGTTTTGAGAGCACGGCGAAACGTGCGCAGGTCCGGGATCCTCCGTATCTCTGGGGGGAGCTCGTTCCAGATGGTAGGTGCCCCCACAGAGGAGGCTCTCCCCCTGGGGGCCGCCAGTTGACACTGTTTGGCCGACGGCACCCTGAGGAGCCTCTCTCTATGGGAGCATACTGGTCGGTGAGAGGCTATTGGTAGCAGAAGGCGGTCTCGTAAATACCCCAGTCCGATGCCATGGAGCGCTCTAAAGGTGGTAACCAAAACCTTGAAGCGCACCCGGAAGACCACCGGGAGCCAGTGCAGCTCGCACAGGAGGGGGGTCACATGGGAGCGCCACGTCGCTCCCATAACCACCCGCGCGGCCGCATTCTGGACCAGCTGGAGCCTCTGGGTGCTCCTCAAGGGGAGCCCCATGTAGAGAGCATTGCAGTAGTCCAAGCAGGAAGTAACGAGAGCATGAGTGACCGTATTTAACGAGTCCCGATCCAGAAAGGGACGCAACTGGCGAATCAGGCGGACCTGATAAAAAGTCCCCCTGGCCACAGCCGTCAAGTGCTCTTCCAAAGACAGCCGTGAGTCCAGGAGGACACCCAAGTTGCGAACCCTCTCCGTGGGGGTCAATGACTCGACCCCAATAGTCAGTGATGGCACCAATTGACTATATCGGGATGTCGGAAACCACAGCCACTCGGTCTTGGATGGGTTGAGCCTGAGTCTGTTTCTCTCCATCCATTAAGCTCACTGCTGGGAGTTCGATCCTGACCTGCTGAAGGTTGACTCAGCCTTCCATCCTTCTGAGGTCGGCAAAATGATGACCCATATTGTTGACTCTGTAAACAGCTTAGAGAGGGCTGTAAAGTACTAGGAAGTGGTATATAATTACTATTGCTATTGACTGGTTCTTTGGTTTTAGCCCGAAGGTATTCTAAGGGAGAGTTATGAAGGTGCCACGCTGGATCCCCAAGGTGCTTATGGTATGTCAGTTCAGTTTATTGGAGGGAAAAAAAAGATAGACATTTCTCTCTCATTATTTTCTTTCTTTCATTGGTATCAGGGCCCTCAAGTCAAGAGGAAAGAATAGGTCTCAATCAATAATATTAGGAGTTGCAGTGGGTCTAGAGAAGATGGTAGAACTGTATTTGGTCAGAAATAACATTGTTATAAATTATCTATCTATCTATCTATCTATCTATCTATCTATCTATCTATCTATCTATCTATCACCACACAGAGGAAACAAAGAGTACTGTCACCATGTGCTTTACTGCTCAACTGTTTTTACTGTAATAGGAAACAGGAAACTACTTAGAACAAAAGATCACCACTTTTAAATACTGCCATCTACTGGCTGAATACTACTGTAGTTGTTACATAGAAATACATTCCAACACACACCAAGCATACATTGTCCAAACAGCTGAATGTTTCCCCAACATTTCTTTATTCCCTTTTTGAAAAAGCCAGGTCCAACTTCAATAAATAAATCCTTTTATTGGGTATTCCTCGATTTGTCTTCCCAGTTTTGTAGGGTGCAGAAGAAAGTGTTTGTTTCCATGTAAATACATCAAGACATGTATCCCCTGTTTTAAAAACATTCCACCCAGTTGCAGGGAGCTGTCAGCCCTCTTATCAGAGGGGAAGAAAAAGTCAATTCCTGCTCCAAGGATTTCATTCTTTATAATTTAATATGGAAGATGTGATAGAGGGCGCGAGACATAACCCTCCCCATTGCATCCTCTATATCAGGGGTCGGCAATCTTAAAAATTCAAAGAGCCACAAAGGTCCTTACCGGAAGCCCCCGTTCAATTCTGGAACTGACCAGAAGTCTATTCCCCATCATAGTCTCCTCCTAGTGTAGCGTCCTTTTTCCTCTGATGACCGGAAGTCCGGTTTCCCCCCACCATAGAGTCTCCTCCTAGCGCGGCATCCTTTTTCCTCTACCTGTCCTAACCAAAAGCCCTATCAATTGTGGAGCCGACCAGCAACAGGGAGCCGCAGCAGAGGGATGAAAGAGCCACATGCGGCTCCAGAGCTGCGGGTTGCTGATCCCTGCTCTATATTAAATTTTAAAGGGAATTTATATTTAAGGGAAAAGATTCATTTACATGCCAGGACTCCACGTGAATAGAAACGAATCAAGGCAGAATTGCTGCATTTTTATTAAGGGGCAAAAATAGTTGGGAGAACTTTGCGTAAAGGTGTTCACTCCCAGTTCACCCATTTCATCTGCCTTTTACCTCACGAAAGGGTGAAAGGAAGGAAGGTCCAGGATTACAGTCTTCCTATATTTTGGTAGCTTATTTATGCGACCTAGCTTGAAACGCATGATGTACTAACATGAAATTTCTGGCTTTTTTGTGGATTGTCACTGGCAGGCACAGTCGTGAGGCAGAAAGAATTTTCTTACACGGTACCACGCTACATCGTCCCCAAGACGCAACTCGTAAAGACGCTCAGTATAAAAGGTAAAATGGAAGGAGAGAAGGAATGCCTGCTGGTTTTCATTCGCTTGTTTTCTCCCCCCTTCTCAATTTTGAATTGGATTGCTGAATTTTTCAGCAGAAGTGTCATCCACCCCATGGAGGGAGGGACGATTGGGAGGAAGGGAGGGAGGAAGGATTGGGAGGAAGGAAATATTGGGAGGAAGGAAGGAAGGATTGGGAGGGAGGGAGAAAGGGAGAAATGAAGGAAGGAAGGATTGGGAGGGAGGGAAGGAGAAAGGAAGGATGGGGAGGGAGGGAGAAAGGAAGGAAGGAAGGAAAGAAAGAAAGAAAGAAGGAAGGATTGGGAGGAGGTAGGGAGGAAAGATTAGAAGGAGGAAGGGAGGGAGGAAGGAAGGAGATGGAGGAAGGAAATATTGGGAGGAAGGAAGGAAAGATTGGGTGGGAGGGAGAAAGGCAGAAATGAAGGAAGGAAGGATTGGGAGGGAAGGAGGGAGGAAAGAAGGAAGGATTGAGGGAGGGAGAAAGGAAGGAAGGAAGGAAAGAAAAGAAAAGGGAGCCCAATGCAACTGGAGTGAAAGCCTTCAGCTACTTATTCAGCCAAACTGTTTTCCTACGAGGCTCCTTCACTCACTCCACATTTCCATCTGCAATTGGGGTGTGCAGCCTGAGCCACTGAAATGATCAATCCAGCAATAACGCCGAATCTGTAAAAAATAAATAAATTGTGGTTTCTCTTCCCTCGCCTTTTCCTCTCTTTTCCTTTCCACGTCCCCTTCCTTGTTTCCTTGCTTGGTTTCCCACCTTCCCAGGCAACCTGTTGGGCGATGTGATCCAGGCTGCCGTGAAGCCCGAAGCGCTGAACTTACTCGCTCACCTTCCCCAAGGCAGTGCCGAAACAGAATTGATGAATATCATCCCGGTGTTTTATGTGTACGATTACCTGGAAAAGACCAAGTCTTGGAACATCTTTGGCTCGGATAGAACCAATGCCGAAATTACCCTGTTGAGGAAGATGAAGAGAGGTAAAGTAGCATCTTCGGAGCTGCCAGTGCTGTAGATAGAAATGTCCATGGGATGCCCAGAAACTTTCCATTCAAGGATGAACCTTTGCATTAAGGCATGTTTGCTTTTGATTGATAGACATCAGAATTCCACACTGATGTCCTCTCTCGAAATAATATAGCAATGTTAGTAAATATAGATGGGGAAAGTGTTTTAGAATAGAATAACAGAGTTGGAAGGGACCTTGGAGGTCTTCTAGTCCAACCCTCTGCTTAGGCAGGAAACCCTATGCCGCTTCAGACAAATGGTTGTCCAACATCTTCTTAAAAGCTTCCAGTGTTGGAGCATTTACAGCTTCTGGAGGCAACTTCTGTTCCACTGATGAATTGTTCTAACTGTCAGGAAATTTCTCCTTAGTTCTAAGTTGCTTCTCTCCTTGATGAGTTTCCACCCGTTGCTTCTTGTCCTGCCCTCAGGTGCTTTGGAGAATAGCTTGACTCCCTCTTCTTTGTGGCAGCCCCTGAGATATTGGAAGGCTGCTATCCTGTTTCCCCTAATCCTTCTCTTCATTAAACTAGCCATGCCCAGTTCCTGCAACCGTTCTTCGTATGTTTTAGCCTCCAGTCCCCTAATCATCTTTGTAGCTCTTCTCTGCACTCTTTCTAGAGTCTCCACATCTTTTTTTACATCGTGGCGACCAAAACTGGATGCAGCATTCCAAGTGTGGCCTTACCATGGCCTTATAAAGTGGTATTAACACTTCACGTGATCTTGATTCCATCCCTCTGTTTATGCAGCCTAGGACTGTGTTGGCTTTTTTGGCAGCTGCTGAACACGGCTGGCTCCTATTTAAATGGTTGTCCACTAGGAGTCCAAGATCCCTCTCACAGTCACCACTATTGAGCAAGGTACCCCATATACTGTACCTGTGCATTTTATTTTTCTTGCCTAAATGTAGAATCTTACTTTTTTCACCATTGATTTTTTTAATCAGGGCAACCTGGTCTACCCAATTATAGGGGCAGAGCATACTGCTCCGTTTAATCTTTCACCTTGTATAGCCAACAAACTGAGGAGAGCCCATGGCTTAGAGGTTAATACATCTACCTAATATACAAGTACCCCAGGTTCGAATCCCAGAAAGGGTATGGTTAGCTGATGGGAGCTAAATAGTTTGAAATAGATACTATTATCTATACTGCTCTCCCTTTATTTCTTTGCCACTAAAACATAAATTCAACACAAATATAGATGGGAAAGTTTATAACTACTGTACTGGTAGATTTGTTATGCAAGAGGGAAAAACGCATCAGATATTTGAGTTATTTTTTTCCCCCAGCATTCAACCAGAGTGAACGTTTTATCTTCAATGTTCATGTTAATAATAAATTTGGTATTTGTTGTTGTACACACTTTTCTTTTTCTCCACGTGTTGTTTGGTTGTTTTATTGGCAGTTCCTTTGTCTTCTTCTTTCTATTTCGTATTTTAACTTTGGAGATAAATAAAACATTTATATTTTTAAAAAAAAGACTGTTAGAGTTGCCTGTAGTTGCCATATCCGGCTCCCCTCAAACTTGGAGATCATTTCTGCATCCTTTATAATGTCTCTATGAGCTATAAAGGGAAATCAACAAGCTCTTTGCCTTTTAAGATGTGAACGAACTCTTGAGAAGAAGTGCTTTTATTTGTTTTTCTTTTTGATTTCTCAGGAATCATCAGCGTCCTGTCTTTTCAAACACAAGATTTCTCATACAGCATGTGGAAGGATGGTGAAGCCAGCACTTGGTAAGTGAAATGTGTTTGGGAGCTAGATGTTTCCAAAATGATTCAGGGAGGATTGCGGGCTAAAACATATGAAGAACGGTTGCAGGAACTGGGTATGTCTAGTTTAATGAAAAGAAGGACCAGGGGAGACATGATAGCAGTCTTCCAGTATCTCAGGGGCTGCCCCAAAGAAGAGGGAGTCAAGCTATTCTCCAAAGCACCTGAAGGCAGGACAAGAAGCAATGGGTGGAAACTCATCAAGGAGAGAAGCAACCTAGAACTAAGGAGAAAATTCCTGACAGTGAGGACAATTAACCAGTGGAACAACTTGCCTCCAGAAGTTGGGAATGTTCCATCACTGGAGGCTTTTAAGAAGATGTTGCATAACCACTTGTCTAAAATGTTATAGGATTTCCTGCTTGAGCAGGGTGTTGGATTAAAAGACCTCCAAAGTCCCTTCCAGCTCTGTTATTTTGTTACATGACGTTAAGAGAAAATTAGTGTCCTCCCTTCACCTGACATGATTTAGCCTGATGCCCTGGTCTGAACAGCAGGAATTATGACAGATTTGCAGGATTCAAACAAAAGCAATAAAACGGGGAAAACAGGCAGGAGATAAATACAATCCTGTTAAATCTGCCTTTATTTGTGTGTGCATATGTGTCTTATTTTTTTCTCCCCCTGTCTCCTGGTGCGGGATTGCTTTCAACCCCCTTTCTTTCCTGTTTGTTCTTGGATGTCTTGAAATCTTTTTCCAAATCTGAGGAAGGAACTCAATTTTATCTTTCGGTCTCGGCAGGATTACCGCGTTTATCCTAAAGGTTTTTGGACAAGTTCGGCGATATATGCCTGATCAATTTGGTACGGTCTGTAACTCTCTGACTTGGTTGATCGACATCTGTCAAATGCACGATGGATATTTCAGGGAAGTCGCAGATTACAAACCCATAGTCCTGAAGGTAAGGAAGTAGACCACGGTTCTAGCATCCAGCAGGTTCTGACAGGTTCTGGAGAACCGGTAGCGGAAATTTTGAGTAGTTCGGAGAACTGGCAAATACCACATCTGGTTGGCCCCAGAATGGGGTGGGAATGGGGATTTTGCAATATCCTTCCCTCAGGAGTGGGGAGGGAATGGGGATTTGGCACTATCCTTTCCCCAGGAGTGGGGAGGGAATGGGGATTTTGCAGTATCCTTCCCCTGGAGTGGGGAAGGAATGGAGATTTTGCAGTATCCTTCCCTTGGAATGGGTTGGGAATGGGGATTTTGCAATATCCTTCCCCTGCCATGCCCACCAAGCCACACCCACCAAGCCTCACCACGTCCACCAAGCCACGCCCACAGAACCAGTAGTAAAAAAAATTGGATTTCACCACTGAAGTAAACTAAGAATTAAGCCCAATTAAGATTCATCTATTGGTCTATCGAGCTTCAATTTGAGGAAAGAAGAAAAGAGAAAAGAAAGAAGAGAAGACGTCTTAGGTCCCTGCCAACTCTGTTATTCTATTCTAGATGCTCAGAGAGCTGAGATCGAAAGCTCTTCCCTTATCCACAGGTTTTGTGAAAAATTGTTTGGAGAACTTTTTAGCGGTTTTGGGGTGGACGTTAGCTGAGTGAAGGCTTCAAGGATGGATGGATTACTTCAAAAGGATGGAGATCCTTCTTGGAGGAGTTTTGCCATGTCTGTTCTTTGAAGTGAAGATGGATACGGACTAATTTCTATAACTTGGTGTATGACGGGAACTAAGAATCAGGAGAACGATATTATTTTAACCCCAACCCTTAACTTATTTGCTGCTTTTCAAAGGGTACCTTCAGTGATCAGGAGAGAGAAAACCGTCTGTATCTCACAGCCTTCACCTTGATGGCCTTCTCAGCATATAAAAAACCATGTCCCTTCCAGGTAGGTGTGTCTGCTTTCCACTTATTAGTAACCTCACTGCTGTCATGGGGTCAAAAATCTCTGTACCCTTTTTGAGGGAACTTTATAACTCAGAGATTGTTAGGATGTAAGGCGTGCTCAACTCCGCTTGTGTTTGACTCTTGCCTTGAGAAGAACATGCTGACAGCTGTTAGACTATTGAATTCAGATTAAAGATGGGAACGTAGGAGAAGGAATGTCAAAAGGGCAAAAGATTTATACCATCTGAGGAGAAACCAGGGTCTTCTCCCACGTAAAATTGGAAGTGTCTTGGCGACGTTTCGACGAAGTCTCATTCGTCATCTTCAGGCTGGTGTTCTCGGCTTCATGCTTCGTGCTCCTGGAAGCACGAAGCCGAGAACACCAGCCTGAAGATGACGAATGAGACTTCGTCGAAACGTCGCCAAGACACTTCCAATTTTACGTGGGAGAAGACCCGAATAACCAAAGACCTACATACAAACACCCGCGAAAACCTGAGAAAATATATATATACATACATGAAATATATATATATATCATGTATATATATATATATATATATCACTGAACTAGGGCTGCATAAAAATCTTGGTTTACGTAGGAAGAACCTGGCTAAAGAGAAATACACCTAAAGGCCTACGAAAAGAAAAGAAAACAAATACTTTACAGAGAAGATACATGGGATGAAGGTGTGGCTAACTGATGAGGGCTTATAAGCCCGAAATAGATCTATCTTAGTCTCCTTAGTCTCCCAATGGGCAGCAGGGAGCTTGCTGGCTGCTCGAGAAAAAAAAGCCTAGAAACTAGTGGATTGGGATTTCACTGAACTAGGGCTGCAGAAAAATCTTGGTTTACGTAGGAAGAATCTGGCTAAAGAGAAATACACATAAAGACCTACGAAAAGAAAAGAAAACATATATATATATATATATATATATATATATATATATATATATATATATACACACACACACACACACATACACATACACACACACACACACACATATATATAATCACTTATGGATAAGAGAATGTACATTTACAATATGTGTATAAGAAATAAAAATTAAAAAACGTTTTTTTTCAAAAAAAAAAAAAAGGAGAAGGAATGGCAGAACCTGGAAAGGGGGGGGAGTTAAAGGAGGAATCAGCCTAGAATCCCTACATAGCCACAAGCAAATTAAGTCCAATGTCCTTTGAATTCTGATGCCCCTTATCTAACTCCAAGCTGGTTCTTCTAACCCTTATTTGAGAAGATTCCTGTGCATAGTCTTTTTTTTTTTTTTTTTGGTCTTTTAATGACCCCGTAAATCCTTTGCGGGGTGGAGGTTGGGCAACTGAATGGAGCTGACTGTTTACTGGCCAGATGCCCTTCCTGTCGCCAATGCGGAGTTTTGTTCAGCAGATCTATTCTCGTTGTGAGAATTCTCATTTCTCTCCCAGTGAGAGAAATATCTGCCTCTACCTAGGATCGAATTCACAGCCTCCTGATTGTGAGGCGAGAGCTCCACCTCTCTAGGCCACCGCACCACTATAGTCTTTTAGCAATGAAGCGGTTTAATTGAACCTTCAAGTCTGGACGTGATCTTGATGGGAGGAAACACGATGCTACTTCTTTTATTGAGGCTACTCTTTTATCCATCCGAGGGCCTGCTTTTCAAGATAACATGGGGAGCAGAATCATAGATGCCATTGCCCGAAGTGCTTTGGGAGAAAGGTGGCGGGACGTGACGAGCCACCAAAACAAAAATAACCGCTTTTGCCTGTTCTTTTACAGAAATTTGCGGACGCTGAAAACAGGGCTGTGGATTATTTGCTGCAAAACATCGTGCACTCGCAAAACACCTTCGTCTTAGCCATCGTGATTTATGCTCTCACTCAAGCAAAGGTCAACCACCCTGACCTTCATTTGGCCTACCTTCGCTTGCAGAACGAAGCTCAAGTGAAAGGTAAAGTCCTCCTTACACCAAATCAAGTCTCCAGCTGATGATGGTCCACCTTTGAGTGGTGCGGGCGGCCTAGAGGTGGCGCTCTCCCCTCACAATCAGGAGGCTGTGAGTTCGATCCTAGGGAGAGGCAGATATTTCTCTCTCTGGGCACGATGAAGAATATATCTGCTGAACAAAACTCCGCACTGGTGACAGGAAGGGCATCCGGCCAGTAAACACTCAGTTGTCCAGACTCTACCCTGCAAGGGATTATGGGGTCATTAAAAGAAGATGATGATGGTTCACCTTTATAAACACCAGCAGCCTTCCATCCTTTGGATCAGGCTGGCCTCTCCAACTACCCTGTTCTGTCCCCGTCTCACACACACACACAAACAGTCAGCCAGGAGTTAATAAAACCAGCAGTCAGGAATTCCTTTGAGGTAACAGAATTGGCAGCAACCCGGTAGCTGCCTGCCAAAGACTTTACTCACAAAGGGAGATTTTTCTCCTCCGTCCGATACACCAAAATAAGTCCACAAAGCCAAAGAATTGTCAAGTCCAGTCCATGATAAATCCAAGGAGGGCATATAACATATAAGTTCCAGAAACGCAGTATGACTTGCTAGCTTTTCAGTTTTGTCCGTCACAAGGCCTGAATGGCCACCACACCCCCTTTTATCCCCTGTGGGGTGTGGTCCAGTGACTCAGCTTAATCTCTGGCACGCCTCTTTCTCTGCTGCGCACGCTTATCTTTCCGACGCTGTCGGGGATCCAGCCAAGACTCATCTCCGTCGCTGTCTAACTGCGGCTGCTCAGAAGTGCCTGGCTCCTGGCCTATCTCTTGGCCTTCGGAGGACACCTGAGGCATTGCCAGAGAGGAGGGTCCTGGAGAAGGAGGCCTTGCCAACTCCTCTCCTTCACTTTCAAAGTCTTCTCCCTCCGATAAGACGGGCTCGGGGTCTGAGTCACAACATACCCTAAGAAGCAAGGAGAACATATTCTCATTGGTCCTTGACTAGACCCAGAGGTGAGAAGGTTCTCCCTTCCGCTTTGTGATGCTCTATCTCTGTTATTTCCCCATTTACAGGAACACCCCCAGCCTACCGTTTCTGGAAAGAGACCCCCGTCAAATTCGATGCCAGCATTCCCTCTGAGGGCAACGCCAAGATGGTTGAAACCACTGCCTACACCTTGCTGTCCGTTTTGCTGAAAGGAGATCACGACTATGCCAAGCCGGTCATGAAATGGTTGACTGAAGAGCAGAGATTTGGGGGTGGATTTTATTCAACCCAGGTATCCGCTCTCCTCTCCCATTTCTTCCAGGTCATCTGTAGGAATCTTGAGCATATGTTCCCTGCCAATCATCCACTTAATAATATGTTCTAATTTAGAACCGACGTTTGTGCTGTTTAGCATGGAATTGCTTGCCCGATATTGTGTTCATTTATTGGGGGGGCAGGGGTGTATGTCTCACTGATACTTAACTAATTGCTAAATCAAAAAAAAAAATAATTAATTCAAAAGCACCAATAAGAAACTAAGAAAAATAAGTATGGACTAAGTGGTATGATTGGCTCGAGATTAGGGAAAGTAAATGTGATTAAACGATGGAGAGAAGAAGGTGACAAACGTGTAAAATAAAAAGCCTTGCAGTACAGTGGTCTAAAGCACCCTGTTATTAAGACCAGCTGCCTGCAATTACTGCATGTTCGAATCTCTCCAAGGCTCAAGGTTGACTCAGCCTTCCATCCTTTCTAAGGTAGGTAAATTGAGGACCCAGTTTGTGGGGGCAATAAGCTGACTTTGTATAAATATACAAAAGTATGAAGGCTATTGCTTAACGCATTGTAAGCCACCCTGAGTCTCCGGAGAAGGGTGCCATATAAATCAAATTTAAAAAAATTCCCCCCAGTTAATACACAGTGTGGTTGCCTCCCTTCTAATGCTATCTTTTTGGGGTTTTTTGTTTTTTGTTTCTTCTTCTGCTCTCTTTCACTAATTTGACAGGATACAATTATCGCTTTGGAGTGCCTGACCGAATATTCCATCCTCATTAAACGGCTTGCTCTGGATATGAACGTCAAAGCGTCTTACAAGTTTCAGGGAGATTTTCAGACGTACCGGCTGACGAGTAGCAATTACATCGGCAGGCCTGTGGATGTGAGTTAATGAATTGGGGTGGGGATGGGTGGGGAGGTCAAAGAGAGCAGATACTTGAAGTGGCTTTTGATCTCGTAATTGGCCCCTTGGCCAAGAAATATTATTGTGGGTTTCAAGCAAGAAAGGGACAGGTAGACAAGATTCTAATAAAGACAAATTGAATCCTTGGATTGTGGCTGGCAGGAACAATCAGGAAGTTCAGAAGGAGGCAGTTTCCCCAGTTAAAAAAAAAAAATCAACAATGGGCCCATTAGAGTTCATTTAATGACAGTTCAAAGTTATAACAGCACTGAAGAAAAGTAGAATTTCTCCCTTCTCATCCTTCTTTCTTTCCTTCTCCAAGTCAAGCTTTCATCCCCTTGCTTCACGCTTTAGCTTTCCTTTGCTGGAGAGAAATTTCACAGATGATGATCAACCAGAATTCTGAGAGGTGCGGTGTCCTAGAGGGGGAGCTCTCGCCTCACAATCAGGAGGCTGTGAGTTCGATCCTAGGTAGAGGCAGATATTTCTCTCTCTGGGCAGGATGAGAATATATCTGCTGAACAAAACTCAGCAGTGGTGACAGGAAGGGCATCCGGCTAATAAACGCTCGGCTCCATTCAGTTGCCCAGACTCCACCCTGCAAAAGATTGTGGGGTCACTAAAAGATGATGATGATGATAATAAACCAGGATTCTAACGAAACTAGATCTGTGCCTCAAGTAGCCGAAAATATCCAGGTCATGTTTATGCTAGCTTAACAAGAACTTTCTATATAGCAGCCATGGGGATTAATGTCAAATTTTATATTTTTTTGCCATTTCTTTGCAAATTCAGGCTTCGTTGAAGGAGGATATAGAAGTACGCACGGGGAGCAGTACTGGGACAGCCTTTGTGACTGTAAGTGAACAAAACACTTTCATTTACAAGTAGTCCTCGACTTACAACAGTTCGTTTAGTGACCGTTCAAATTTATGTATTGATTTAGCATATGGCTGACCGTTAAAAGTTACAACGGCACTGAAAACAGTGACTTATGACTGTTTTTCACACTTATGACCATTGCCGCATCCCGTGATCAAAATTCGGATGCTTGGCAACTGACTCATATTTATGACGGTAGCAGCGTGTTGGGGGTCACGTGACCCCCTTTTGCGACCTTCCAACAAGCAAAGTCAATGGGGAAGCCAGATTCACTTAACAACCATGTAACTAGCTTAACAACTGTGCCGATTCACTTAACAAATGTGGCAAGAAAGGTCGTACGATGGGGCAAAGTTGACTTCCTTCAACTGTCTCGCCTAGCAACACAACTTTGGGGCTCAATTGTCGTACGTCAAGGACTACTTGAATTTACATTTGGGTGATCTAAAAAAGTGCTTCCTGCATCAAGAATGATATCCAGACCCCCAAATATCTATACAATCACACCAAACTGTGACATCTTAAATTATGATTTTATTGTACTTGTTTCTTAACTTATGTTCGCCGCCCTGAATCCTTCGGAAGAATGGCGGCATATAAATACATGTAATAAATAATAAATAATAAATAATCTTGTAAATCCAGCTTGACAGATGGAATGCGAGAGAACGAACCTTAAAAATGAGTAACGGAAACATGGAATTTATTTTACCAATGGATGGAAAAAAAGGAGTGGAGATTAAGAATGTAATTTGTATTGTTAAGTAAATTATGTCAGAGTGCGCACAGTGTGTCGATTTTTGAGACAACCCAGGAGCAAAATACAGTAAACAGAGGTTTGTCTTTAAAATAGTGGTTTATCCTCAAGGAATATATACATACACGTACTAGGCAAAGTCAGGCAATCAATCATCAACTATAGTACGGAAGCACTCACGGAGAGAGAGATAGGCCCCAACAAGGCCGCTCTTATAATACAGTCTCTTAAAGTGGTAAAGAATCAAATAACTTTGCTGACTCATTACTACCATTGCATCATCATTACAGCATTACAGCAGCTGATCCTGCTATTAAATCATCATTACTCTGACAAATTAAATACCCAGACAACACGATGTTTATTAAGCACTAAGAAATGTATTTAATAGAAAATCAATAAAGCAATGATAATGATAATCAGCATCAGCATCAGCATCAGCATCGACAATCTAAACTGTCAACTTTGCAACAACAAAGTTGAAACTGTTTCACATTTAATATGTGAATACAGCAAAATCGCACAAACTGATTACAAAGTTAGACACGACCGAGTTACTAAATTAGTCCACTGGTCATTATGTAAAAAATATGATTTATCTGTATCCAAAAAGTCATGGGAACATAAAGTGGAAAAAGTTATAGAAAATGAGAAGGTGAAGATCTGGTGGGACTTTCGAATACAGATGGATCGTCACTTGGAACACAACACGCCAGATATCACAGTTGTCGAAAACCGAAACGTACAATTTATTGACATCGCGGTACCAGGAGACACCAGAGTTGAAGAAAAAGAACTGGAAAAAATCATGAAATATCGCGACCTGGCCATCGAAACTACACGGCTATGGATGAAACATGTCACAGTGATACCCACTGTCATCGGGGCACTTGGTACCATGTCCAAGAATTTCACAAAACACTTCAAGATATTGCAACTTCCTGCAATAACACCAGCGGAACTGCAAAAAACTGCGCTACTTGGAACATCGTACATCTTAAGAAGATACTTGGTTGATACCTAGGATGCTGGCAGCAACCCGTATCAACCATTAGCACCAGTCAATGGTATTTGTGATGCATTTTTGAATGTTCAGTTGACTGAGTTTCATATTTAATGAATAAAGATAATAATAATAATAATAATAATAATAATAATAATAATAATAATAATAATAATAGTAATGGAGAACTGGATGGGAAATGTATCCATTTGGCTACAAAACAATTATATCAGTGTCCTTTGAGTTTTGAACCCAGAACTTTTCTCGTTAAGTTGGCTAGAAAGGTACAGTAGTAGATGGAATACCAAGATCAATGATCTTCACAAATTTGAACCTTTGACTTACCTATTCTACAGATATTATAACAGTAACTAGAAGCTGGTTGGTGCGTTCAAAGCCTCCAAATTAATTTGGTTTATTTTCAATTTGGGCATTTACAGCTGAGGAGCGTGTATTATGTAAGCAGCATTTCTGAAGACACGTGTGACTTTCAGTTGAAGATTGATGTCAAGCTAGACGGTGAGGAATTCATTATTTAAAAAAAACATTAAACTGGAGAAAAGGTTACTCAGAGGACGTTAAAAAAGTTCTCTCAGTATCTTGGAAGGAATGGCCCAGTTATTTTCTCTCTCTCTCTCGTTTCCATGATGGATTATTTATGTCCATGACAAGAGAAAGGATTTTAACTAAGCATTAAAACTATTTATTACTAAGACAAAGTCCCACTTTTTTTCAAACAACTGGACATTCTTGGTTTTTCTTTGTTTGAAAACATTTCACTCCTCATCCAAGAAGCTTCTTCAGTTCTAGAACTGAAGCAGAACTGAAGAAGCTTCTTGGATAAGAAGCAAAACATTTTGAAAGGGGGGGGGGACCTAAGAAAGTCTAGTTGCCTTTTTTGGAGGCATCTTTGGGACAACCAGGATGGTTGAGAATCTCCATAGATACCCTGTTTCCCCGAAAATAAGACATCCCCTGATAATAGGCCCAATTGGGCTTTGGAGTGCATGCACTAAAATACTCCCCCACCCCCTGAAAATAAGCCCTCCCTGAAAACATTTAAACGCACGCGCAGCTGGTCCCCGCAATTTCCTCTGGTTAGGGTTAGGGAGACAGAGCTGGAAATCAGGTAAGATGGCAAGAGGAGCCCCGTCTTGCTCCACGCCCCCCAAAATAATAAGACCTCCCCGAAAATAAGGCCAAGCGCTTATTTCGGGGTTCAAAAAATATAAGACAGGGTCTTATTTTCGAGGAAACACGGTATATGAAGGCAAAGCTTAGCGGACTTCCTTCCTAAGAGATTCTTTAAATAGGAGATGAGGAATGGCCACCTACCTTAAAGTTATAGTTATGGGTTTCTTTAATCTGAATACATCTAAATAAAAATATCTTTAATGCTTAACATGTAGAGAGGTCCAGCTTTAAATCTTCTGTCCATAAAGCTCTTTATGGCTCTTTATGAGCCGAGGTGGCGCAGTGGTTAGAGCTGCAGTACTGCAGCTACTTCAGCTGACTGCTAGTTCAGCAGATCAGCGGATCAAATCTCACCGGCTCAAGGTTGACTCAGCCTTCCATCCTTCCGAGGTGGGTAAAATGAGGATCCAGATTGTTAGGGGCAATATGCTATTTAGTATACTGTCTTTGGTGTAAGCCGCCCAGAATCCTCGGAGAGTGGGCGGCATAGAAATATGACTAATAAAATAAATAAATAAATAAATAAATAAATAAATAAATAAATATCGAGAACAATCCTATTTAACTGAACCTCTACAGCAGGTTTGTGGGACGGATCTGGCCCTTCGGGGTGCTTAAATCTGGCCCGTGGTGCCCCATTTTCAGCCTGGATGATCTCCTGCAGCACTCTGCTGGCCAAAATGGGGCATGGGGCCTCCACATGAGCCCCGCCCCCCCGCCCCTTTTGGCTGGCAGGGTAGTGCAAGAGGCTGTCCAGGCCAAAAATGGGGCACTGGGGGCCTCGTGCCCCCCCATGCCCCGTTTTAGCCGGCAGAGTGCTGCAGGAGGCATTCGTCCCATCTCCCCCCCCTCCCAACCTGGCCAACCCGCATAGAAGAACTACAATGCTGATCTGGCCCTCAGAGAAATCCAGTTTGACACCCCTGCTCTACAGAGAATATTGGTACCACAAATCTCCATCGTAGCTTAGATGACCCCTATATGCTAAAATCTCAGTATTGCTTGGCTGGCAAGTACTTCTCTAAACAATTTCTTCCCGAAGGGCCCTGTTGTGACCTAGGCTTACTGAATCATTAAAACACACGAGTAGTCCCAACTACCTCTTTTATTGCAACAGCTGTGAGTTACATTCATTCACAGCTGAGTCCCAATTAGTTGCAAAAAGTCATTTGGGAGAAGTCCTTCGGGATGATCACCAACCTTTATCTCCTTTGACACATTGCCAAGGACCTACTTGGCAAAGCCACACAGAGTCCAGAATCAAATAGAGATGTCGACTGGGAACAGAATTAACAACGTTGCTTTCCTGCAAAGGGCCCACGTGCCTTTGCTCCTCTTTTAAGCCTTATGGGAGGGGCCAATCATTCTCCAGGCCTTACTCCCGAGTCGTCCCTTTTGTTTTAACTATTTGTGCCTTCTGGCGCACTAGGAACAGGCTCCTCCTGTTCCTCTGCCTCTCTGCTGTCCGACTCTGGAGATTCTGGAAGCAGCACATACCTCTGAACTAATTGCTTCCTGCAAAAGCTCACATCCCGTTTGCTTCTCTTTTATGTCTTATGGGAGGGGCCAATCATCTCCAAGCCTTACTCCCAAGTCGACCCTGTTTCCTTAATTGTTCCTGTCTCCTGGCAGCTCTGCACATGCGCACACTGGGAACAGGCTCCCGCTGTTCTTCTGTCTCGCTCCTGAGACTCCAGAGGCAGCAAAGAACTACCAGATGGTCGTGGCCCCATCTTTGCCTCTGACGCAGAGCCCTCGTCCGAGCCTTCCCCAGACTCCAGGACTGGCCCATGTTCCTCCCCAGCCTCCTCACTGTCCGACTCGCTGCCAGGCTGCTGGTGGACCACAACAGGCCCCCAGTTTTTCAATATGGGTGGGGGGAAGAACGCATGTCTTTCCTCTGATTAGGTGGGAACTGTTCGATTTCGCCCACATCGGACTCTGCGGGATAATTACCCCTGAAATTCTTCTTTTGAAAAAACAACCTTTTTTTTTTTTTGCTCGTACAGAAAAGAAGTACTACCTGTCCTTCAATGAAGTCCGGCTGTTGATCGCCTGTGCAAAGTAAGTCTGGATAATTTGAGACTGTTGCGTGTCAGAAAAAAAAGCACGGAGAAGATTCATTACTTTGGATAAATTCTCTCATGTTTTCTTTTTTTAAAAAAAATCTGGTCTTTGATTTTGATACAGGGGTGGATCTGGTTAGTTTTTGAATGGGAGGCGATTGTGAGAAGACCATGAGATCTTAGAGCTGTAGGCTAGACTGGAAAACACAAAACAAAACACAACAAAATAAACAGAGTCAAGGGACCTTAGAGGTCTTCTAGTCCAACCTTTAACCCTATAGCATTTCAGACCAATGGCTAGTGAAGAGAAGGACCAGGGGAGACATGATAGCAGTGTTCCAATATTTGAGGGGTTGCCACAGACAGGAGGAGGTCAACCTATTTCCCAAAGCACCGGAAGGCCAGACAAGGAACAATGGATGGAAACTGATCAAGGAGAGATTCAACCTAGAAATCAGGAGAAATTTCCTGACAGTGAGAACAATCAACCCATGAAACAGAGGTTGTGGGAGCTTCATCCCTGGAAGCTTTCAAGAAGAGACTGGACTGCCATCAGTCAGAAATGGTGTCGGGTCTCCTGCTTGGGCAGGGGGTTGGACTAGATGACCTACAAGGTCCCTTCCAACTCTGTTAATCTGTTAAACCTCCAGTGTTGGAACACCCAACCATCCTTGAAGAAGAGATGGGCCAATCCTTTCTACACAGTTGCCAAGAAAACAGCACAAATGTGTTCAGATCAACCAGAAAGAAAACTGCTCCTTCCTAATTAATCATCTTCTGCCCCTTTGTTTATTCTTGGCCCTTCCTCTTTGATGGTCATACCCAGCTCTCCTGTCCCATATTGTAACGGTTGGGTTTATTGACGCAGACTCTGAAAAAATGTCAGAAGCCCTATAGATGATCCCAGCTGGTCCATATGAACCAAAATCCAAGAAAGCGGTTGTGTCCCAAGCAGTCAGTTGCTACTATTTCTATTTCTATTTCTATTTTTTGGTCCTGTGTAGATATAAACCTCGGAGGAGGACAAGGGAATATTCCTCTCCCCATGCAGTGATTGACATCTCTCTTCCCAATGGCCTGGAAGCAAATGAGGAAGACTTAGCTGTTGTAAGTAACACTGACATCCCCGATTTTTTATTTATGTATTTTAAAAAAAGCAACATAATGAAATCTGAATTCCCTATACAGATAATCCTCTACTTTCAACCACAATTGAGTCCAGAATTCACATTGCTAAGTTAGACTCTTGCTAAGTGAGCTTTGTCCATGGGTGAAAAATCCAGCAGGTTCTGACAGGTTCTGGAGAACTGGTAGCGGAAATTTTGAGCAGTTCGGAGAACCGGCAAATACCGCCTCTGACTGGCCCCAGAATGGGGTGGGAATGGAGATTTTGCAATATCCTTCCCCTGGAGTCGGGAGGGAATGGGGATTTTGCAATATCCTTCCCCTGGAGTGGGGAGGGAATGGGCATTTTGCAATATCCTTCCTCTGGAGTGGGGAGGGAATGGGCATTTTGCAATATCCTTCCCCTGGAGTGGGGAGGGAATGGGCATTTTGCAATATCCTTCCTCTGGAGTGGGAAGGGAATGGGAATTTTGCAATATCCTTCCCCTGGAGTCAGGTGGGAATGGAGATTTTGCAATATCCTTCCCCTGCCACGCCCACCAAGCCATGCCATGCCCACCAAGCCACGCCCACAGAACCGGTAGTAAAAATATTTGGATTTCACTACTGGCTTTGTCCCCTTTTACGACCTTCCTTGCTGCGTTGGTTAAGTGAACCACTGCAGTTGTGAAATTTAGTCACCCGGCTGTTAAACGAATCTGGCTTCTTCTCCGTTGTCTTTGCTTGTCCGAAGGTCGCAAAAGGGGATCACGTGGCCCGAGACACCGCAGCCGTCATAAATGTGAATCAATTGTCAAGCATCCGAATGTAAATCACGTCACCGTTGGGGATGCCGCAGCGGCCATAAGTGGGGAAAACGGTCACAAGTCACTTTTTTCAGTGCCGTCATAACTTTGAACGTCTGTTGTACGTTGAGGACTGCCCGTATATTTTTGAACAGCTATATGCATTTCTAAACACACGGGGTCTCGAACCACATGTTTTAATTGAAAACCGTCCTGTATAAAATTCAAATACCAACATTACAAAACAGGAATGCTTTTTTCTAAAGATTGATCTATCTATCTATCTATCTATCTATCTATCTATCTATCTATCTATCTATCTATCTCTCTATCTCTCTATCTCTCTATCTCTCTATCTATCTATCTATCTATCTATCATCTATCTATCTCTCTATCTATCTCTCTATCATCTATCTATCTATCTATCATCTATCTATCTATCTATCATCTATCTATTTATCTATCTATCATCTATCTATCTATCTATCATCTATCTAGCTATTTATCTATCTATCTATCATCTATCTATCTATCTATCATCTATCTATCTATTTATCTATCTATCATCTATCTATCTCTCTATCTATCTCTCTATCTATCTCTATCTCTCTATCTCTCTATCATCTATCTATCTATCTATCTATCTATCTATCTATCATCTATCTATTTATCTATCTATCATCTATCTATCTATCTATCTATCTCTCTATCTATCTCTATCTCTCTATCTCTCTATCATCTATCTATCTATCTATCTATCTATCTATCTATCTATCTATCTATCTATCTATCATCTATCTTGCTAGCTAGCTAGCTAGCTAGCTAGCAAGCAACTGATTGAGCTACTCTTCCAGAATATATCTGTGAAAATCACCTGGCAAATGTCCTCTCTTTTTTTTCTCCTCAGCTTTCAAATAGTGTTGACCAGCTGATTTCAAAGTATGAGATAAGGCCCGATGGACATGTTGTCATGCAGGTAGACTCGGTAAGTTTCCTGCGACTTTGTCACATAGTTTTATTTCAAATGATCAGTGATTTTATTTTGATCATCCTGTGTCTCAGAGCTGCATTATTCAAACTCAGCTGATTAGTCGCACAGGTACAGGATAAGTGGTTCCGTGCTCAGTAGTGGTGACTGTGAGAGGGATCTTGGAGTCCTAGTGGACAACCATTTAAATAGGAGCCAGCCGTGTGCAGCAGCTGCCAAAAAAGCCAACACAGTCCTAGGCTGCATTAACAGAGGGATAGAATCAAGATCACAGGAAGTGTTAATACCACTTTATAAGGCCTTGATAAGGCCACACTTGGAATCCTGCATCCAGTTTTGGTCGCCACAATGTAAAAATGATGTGGAGACTCTAGAAAGAGTGCAGAGAAGAGCAACAAAAATGATTAGGGGACTGGAGACTAAAAGTTATGAAGAACGGTTGCAGGAACTGGGTATGTCTAGTTTAAAGGAAAGAAGGACTGGGGGAGACAAGATAGCAGTGTTCCAATATCTCAGAGGCTGCCCCAAAGAAGAGGGAGTCAAGCTATTCTCCAAAGCACCTGAGGGCAGGACAAGAAGCAATGGGTGGAAACTAACCAAGGAGAGAAGCAACTTAGAACTAAGGAGGAATTTCCTGACAGTTAGAACAATTATTCAGTGGAACTACTTGCCTCCAGAAGTTGTGAATGCTCCAACACTGGAAGTTTTTAAGAAGATGTTGGACAACCATTTGTCTGAAGTGGTGTAGGGTTTCTCTCTCTCCCTCCCTCCCTCTCTCTCTCTCTCTCTCTGTCTCTCTCCCCCCTCTCTCTCTCTCTCACACACACACACAAACTTTGTCTGCCAAGTTGAGCAGTGTGGTACAGGAAGCGGCTTTCTGCAAACTGCACAGATGAAGCTGTTCGTTCAGGGTGCAAATAACTGAATTCTGCCAGTTCTCTGGAAGGACAGCAGAGGCGATAAACAGAATAACAGAGTTGGAAGGGACCCTGGAGATCTTCTAGTCCAACCCCCTGCTGAAGGAGGAAACTCTATACCATTCCGGACAAATGGTTGTCCAATCTCTTTTTAAAAACCTCCAGTTGTTGGAGCCCCCATAACTTCTGGAGGGAAGCCGTTCCAATTATTCTCAATGTCAGGAAATTTCTCCTTATTTCCTACGTTAGATCTCTCCTTGATTAGTTTCCATCCATTGCTTCTTGTCCTGCCTTCTGGTTCTTTAGAGAATAGCTTGACTCCCTCTTCTTTGGGGCGGCCCCTGAGATATTGGAAGACTGCTATCGTGTCACCCCTAGTCCTTCTTTTCATTAAACTAGACATACCCAATTCCTGCAACCGTTCTTTATATGTTTTATCCTCCAGTCCTCTAATTTATGTACAGTATATTTCAGAATTCTGAAGCCCTGCTTCCCAATCAGTGGAAATCATATTATATTAGCATTCCTAGTTCAATTCAGAGGGACGCAGTGACTCAGTGGCTAAGACGCTGAATTTGTCGATCCGAAAGGTCGGCAGTTCGGCGGTTCGAATCCCTAGTGCCGCGGAACGGGATGAGCTCCCGTGACTTGTCCCAGCTTCTGCCAACCTAGCAGTTCGAAAGCATGTCCACCCGCCATCATGCCCATTCAGTCGAAAGCAGGTAAAAAATGCAAATAGAAAAATAGGGACCACCTTTGGTGGGAAGGGAACAGTGTTCCGTGCGTCTTTGCCGTTGAGTCATGCCGGCCACATGATCATGGAGACGTCTTCGGACAGCGCTGGCTCTTCGGCTTTGAAATGGAGATGAGCACCGCCCCCTAGAGTCGGGAACGACTAGCACATATGTGCGAGGGGAACCTTTCCCTTTAATTCCTGCAACCGTTCTTCATATGTTTTATCCTCCAGGCCCCTAATCGATGTACGGTATATTTCAGGGTTCTGAAGCCCTGCTTCCCAATCAGTGGAAATCATATTATACTAGCATTCCTAATTCAATTCAAATGGCGGTTGGATGCCCCCCTTCAGACAAACAGAGCCACTGACTGGTGTAAATATTCTGGGCTATTTTCTTTCATCCAGTTGTTTCTGGAAAATCCCATGTAGGATATGAGTCAGTTACAAAGTTTTCTGGGCTTTGCAAATTTTTACAGAAGATTTATCCCCTCATTTGCTAAGGTGGCTTTACCGTTGACTGATCTCTTAAAGACGAGAAAAAGTGCAGTCGGGAAAGGCAACCCACAACAAAAAATCAATTGGACGATATCATGTCAACGTGCATTTGACACGTTGAAAACCCTCTTCGCTAATGAACCCATACTAAGACCTCCTAACACATCGAAACCCTGTGTAATCCAGGCAGATGCAAGTGATGTGGCGGTAGGGGGTGTTCTCCTACAAAGAAATGAACATGGGGTTCTTCAACCATGCGCCTACACCTCCCGAAAACTAACCGATACAGAACGAAATTGGACGGCTTGGGAAAAAGAGGCGTATGCCATAAAATGGGCCTTGCAAACGTGGAGGCATTTGCTAGAAGGGACTAAGGTAGTCGGAGCGTTGCGAACAGCCAATGGTACGCCCCAAACAGATTGGCTACCTGACTAGTGTCAGAGGTCTTCAAACTTGGCAGCTTTAAGACTCATGGACTTCAACTCCCAGGATTCTCCAGCCAGCATAGCTTTGAAGTTTGAAGACCTCTGGTCTAATGGCTATCCTTCTGCCCACTTGCCTCACCCAGTGGTGGGTTTGCACACCCCACCCCTGTAACTGATCTCAGTTTGGAAATCAACTAAAGTCACATTGGCTCACGGACAAGAACTGACATAGCAACGCACCAAAGATTCGTGACATTTCAGGGCAAAAATGCCGGGTAGAGAAATATCATTTGTGGTTTTCATGTATCCTCAGTCCATCTGAACTTACATTATTCTGACAGATTCCAGGAAGTGAGTTCCTGTGCGTTGGTTTCCGAATAACTGAAATTTACCGGGTTGGAATGCCAAGTCCGGGAGCCTTCTCGGTGTATGATTATCACGACCCTGGTAAGGAATTCATTCATTTTGGGTCAGCTTTTCCCATAAAAGAGAATCTGATGTTTTGGGGCTTAGCACGTTCGTTCAGCACACCAGCTTGTTAATTGAATTTAGGCTGGTGGCTTTAGCGTTGATTATTCTACAGAGTTAAATGCTGTTTCTTATTTGGCATTCAGCCTTCTCAGAAATCTACCTTATTTCAAGAGAATTTAGCCCTTCCCTTCCCTTCCCTTCCTTTCCTTCCTTCCTTCCTTCCTTTCCTTTCCTTTCCTTTCCTTCCCTTCCCTTCCCTTTTCCTTTCCTTATTCCTTTCCTTTCCTTTCCTTTCCTTTCCTTTCCTTTCCTTTTTCTTTCCTTTCCTTTCCTTTCCTTTCCTTTCCTTCCCTTCCCTTCCCTTCCCTTCCCTTCCTTCCCTTCTTCCTTTCCTTTCCTTTCCTTTCCTTTCCTTTCCCTTCCCTTCCCTTCCCTTCCCTTCCTTTCCCTTCCCTTCCTTTCCTTTCCCTTCCATTGTTTAGCCCTTCCCTTTCCCTCTCTAACTTTACTACATGATCAATCTCTGTTCCAAAAAAAAAAGAAACTTTTTTTGTTTGTTTCAGAAAATAAAAAGTGCACTATCTTTTATAATGCTTACGGAGAACAATCTCTTCTTAAATTATGTGAAGGCAGTGAATGCAAATGTATGGAAGGTAAGCAGTCAAAAGTAACTTGAGTTAAATGACCTGGGAGGAAAAAATGTTAAGAATTGCTTCAATGTATTTTTTTAAAAAAACAAAAGAACTTCCTTTAGAGCACGAGGTTGATATGAGCAAGCAGTGTGTCAGAGTATCATATTAACATGATTCATTGGAAATGAGTTTGTTTGTTTCCTAGTCTTAGAGTGTGTGTATGTGTGAAGAAATGCAGGTGAATTTAAAGCACCATAAAAAAAAACATTTCTAAACACTGCATCAAATAAAGAAAATTCTGCATCTGCTTGTCTGTACTAAAACTGAAGAAAAACATGAGTTTAAGTCTGAAGGGGGAGGCAAGTGTTCCAATAGAACAGAATAGAATTCTTTATTGCCCAAGTATGATTGGACACACAAGGAATTTGTCTTTGGTGCATATACTCTCAGTGTACATAAGGAGAATAAAATATATTCATCAAGAATAAAAAGATACAACACTTAGTGAGAGTCAAGGTCACTATTAAGTTATCAAATTGTACTAGGAAACAAATAAAAACAATATAAATTGAAAGATACAAGAAACATGGTTATAGTAATAAGTAGAAAGAGATAGATACTAGTAAAGAAGAGAAGAAGAAGAATAGTAATACAGTCTTAGTAAATTATTTGTGGGAATTAGTTGTTAAGCAGAGTGATGGCATTTGGGAAAAAACTGTCCTTGTGTCCAATTGTTCTGGTGTGCAGTGCCCTATATATAGGGTCGTTTTGAAGGTAGAAGTTGAAACATGCATCCTTGTCCAAGAATCACACAGAATCATTTCTGCTTCAACTTTCTTGCTGAAAAAGATTCTTCTCTTTCCTCAAAAATCTAGCGGAATGTGGACATATGCAGCCCCGGCTGGACATGTCCATAACTTTGGATACCCGAAGAGAGGCAGCTTGTCGGGAGAACATCGCATATGGTATGAATCTCAGGTCTAAGAGAAAAATGGTTCCGTAAACGCAGCATCAGAAATGGGATGTGCAAACGTTTATTTATTTATTTATTTATTTATTTATTTATTTATACTTTTGTATATACCTGCTTAGTAGGGCTTTCGGGCCCCCCCCAAGCGGTGTTCTTTTTTTAATACAAAGTCAGCTTATTACCCCCACAAACTGGGTCCTCATTTTACCTACCTCGAAAGGATGGATGGCTGAGTCAACCTTGAGCCTGTTGAGATTCGAATTTGCAGTAATTGCAGGCAGCTGGTGTTACTTAACAGTACTTTAGTCTGCTCTTGGTAGCGCATCATTTCCTAGCGATGCGTAGATTTTCTTTTTTCTTTGTAATTGATTGTTTATTAATTACCTTTCTTGGTGCTTAATAAACATCGTGGGGTATTTAATTTGCTCAACAATACTAATTATATTCTTAACCTCCACCCCTTTTTCCCAACCACTGGTAGAATAAATTCCATGTTTGATAGTATTCTGTGTCTTCTTTCTGCTTAATTTTCCCAACCACTGGTAGAATAAATTCCATGTTTGATGGTATTCTGTGTCTTCTTTCTGCTTAATTTTCAGTGTCAGTCTATCCATTTCTCCACAATCTAGTACCTTCTTAATTATCTCTTCATCTCTCTTACTACAAGGCACAGGGTGGGCATAGAGGCTTCGTTTTAAAGCACATTTCCCCAACTTTAGTGCATGATCCAATTTGTAGGAAGCAAACTCCGAGAAGATCCTGAAAGATCCTTTGAGAGATTTTAGGAGGTGAGATCGGACAGTTTAGCCAGCACATCAGAGGTACTGGCAGGGATGGATCCTGAAGGCTGCCTGATTGTGGAATAACATATCCATCTGTTGAAATTTCTGGATTAAAAAAAAAAAGTGTCCAGAAGATTTTTTTTAAATCCAGAAATTCCAACAAAATGATATTCCACAAAAGAAATAACCCTTTATTATCTGTGAAGGAATGTGTAGCTAAAGGACTCTGTGTCTGCCTGTCTCTCTGTCTGTCTGTCTGTCTGTCTGTCCATCCATCCTATCTACCTACCTACCTACCTACCTACCTACCTACCTACCTACCTACCTACTTACTACCTACCTATTGTGTTTCCCCAAAAATAAGACCCTGTCTTGTATTTTTTTGAACCCCAAAATAAACGCTTAGCCTTATTTTCGGGGAGGTCTTATTATTTTGGGGGGCGTGGAGCAAGACGGGGCTCCTCTTGCCATCTTACCTGATTTCCAGCTCTGTCTCCCTAACCCTAACCAGAGGAAATGGCGGGGACCAGCTGTGCATGCGTTTAAATATTTTCAAGGATGTCTTATTTTCGGGGAAACAGGGTACCTACCTACCTACCTACCTACCTACCTACCTACCTACCAACCATTTCTCTCCCTCTCTCTCTCTCCCTCTCTCTCTCTCTCATCTATCTATCTATCTATCTATCTATCTATCTATCTATCTATCTATCTAATGTCGGCAATAGCACTACAGCTTCCCAGGCAGGAGGCAGCACATTCCAGAGAGGAAGGAAAAGGTTCAGGGGAGCCACAACATAGAGTCTCCCATGATTATATCTGTTAGCTTTAATCTGGCAAGATTCTGTCTAATGGATGTAAGCAGATAACGAAATGAACTCAGTTGAATTTCACTCTCTCTTCTTTGGGCTTAGACTTGACATTACGCCCTGCACTGAATATGTGAATTTTGTTCCTTGCATCCAGATGTTATCCCAGCCTTCTCCAACCTTCACTGACCTAGGAAATATGAAGGAGAATCAGAATGGTGTAGTGCATGAATAAGGGACCATGGAAGGGGCATATTTGAGGGTGAGAGCGGCGATGGTATTGATTTAACAAACTGTTTCTTTCTGCTTTCTACCCCTTCAGTTTACAAAGTGGTTATCCAATCATCCAAGGAAGAAGGAAGCTTTGTTAGATACCACGCATTCCTTCTGGAACCCTATAAGCTAGGTGAGCTTTGGTCTGGTCTGATTTGGAAAGGCTCCGTTTATTTATTAAAATGTTTTATGCTGCCCATCGCCCGGTGACTCTGGGCAGCTAAACATTTCTTTATTTAAAATTATTGTTGCTATTTAAGCAATATTATTTTCGCTTCCTGCTACTGCGGCTTGCACGGATGCTGCTGCTCTCCAATTTCGCATCCTCAAATCAACCTGCCCACCGAAACGACACGATCCTTCAGCATCTCCACTTCCCTGTATGTTACAGTTCAAGTCACCTATCAAGATATGAGTCTGTGGACATTTTCAGTCATCCAAGTCATGGTTGTCCCAAAGGTGCTTTTGTCGCTTCTCATCCAAGAAGCTTCTTCAGCTCTGACGGGATGGTGGGGAATGGAAGGTTTGATATTCCTTGCAGACAGCTGGTCATTTGCATCCTTTTAGAGGGTCCTTGAAGCACTTGGAGGTTTATGTCTAGGGAGATTCTCAGCCATCCAGGTCATGGTTGTCCCAAATATGTTTTTTCAAGAAACAACTGGACTTTCTGGGTTTTTTTCTTTCAAGAACGCAAATGACCAGCTGTCCTTTCAGCACTTCCAAAAAGGCTCCACACCCATTTGCACTACTCAGGTGACCCTGAAGGCACAGACAAACCTCCAAGAGGCCTCAATGACTCTCTCAAAGAACACAAACGACCAGCTGTCTGCAAGGAATATAAAGCCTTTCTGTCAGACTTCGATGCTATCTCATAAGAAATGAATTTCTCCACCGTCCAGTCAGAGCTGAAGAAGCTTCTTGGACGAGAAGCGAAACGTCCTCAAAAGAAAAAAACAAGAAAGTTCAGTTGTCTCCTGAAAAAAAAAAACACCTTTGGGACTGGTCAAGATATGGCTCTAAAAAATGCATCTAATAGTGGCAAGAAAATGCAGAAAGTCACGTTAGCAATGAAAAAAACCACACAACAGGCAAGATACTTTGGGGGAAATGCCAGGAGATAATCTCAGTATTAATCACAATGGCATTCAGCACGCATACACTTTGCAACTATTGGAGATCAGGTGCTGTCAATGTTAGATTTATGAAATGTGCTAATATTGTACATCCCTTATGTCAAGCGCCAGGGAAATCAGGAGCAGTTCAAATGGGTATAAAGATTTAACAGAAGAACAGAGTTGGAAGGGATCTTGGAGGTCTTCTAGTCCAACCCCCTGCTCAGGCAGGAAACCCTATACCATTTCAGACAAATGGTTGTCCAGTCTCTTCTTGAAAACCTCCAATGTTGGAGCATCTACAACTTCTGGTGGCAAGTTGTTCCACTGGTTAATTGTTCTCACTGCCATGAAATTTCTCCTTAGTTCCAGGTTGCTCCTCTCCTTGATGAGTTTCCATCCATTGCTTCTTCTTCTGCCCTCAGGTCCTTTGGAGAATAGCTTGACCCCTTCTTCTTTGTGGCAGCAACTCAAATATTGGAAGACTGCTATCATGTCTCCCCTGGTCCTTCTTTTCATTAGATTAGACAATTCCAGAAATTGTTCTTCATATGTTTCATTTATCTTAAGCTTAAGCTCTCTACAAGATTTTGAACTACTAGTGGTCAAACATAAAGAATTCAAGATAGGCTGGACTTAGATCTCTTGTGGGAATGCAAGGACTCATGACTGATGGTGCGTTTGACGCCTCCCTCCGGGTCAACCTGATCATCTCCTACCCCTGCTTCTCAGCTGCGGTTCTCCATGCTCCCTCTAATGAATCTGTTTTAAAGTTTATACTGAATGCAGTTATGGTTGTATATTAACAATCCGTCCTTTAGAAACTGCCTGGAGATTTGAGGTTTTCAGAAATGAAAGTTCAGACAGCACCAAGGACTCCACAGTTCAACCCTGAGCTACAGAGGGTCTCTTCTATTAGATTGAAACGGAGTGAAAAGAATGTTCGATTTGTAGGTTTCCTTCAATATGTTTCAACTCTTCCGCAGGGGTGACTTTTGCCGAGAAGAACGCAGAAATCATCTTTATTAAAAAGAGCTCCTGTACGGATATCCAGCTGAATCCAAAGGAGAATTACTTGATCATGGGAAAAGAGGCTTTGAAGACAGGAGAGGGGGCCAATGCCAAGTAAGCCAAGCACAATTCTGTTGGAAGGGCAGTCCTTCACCCCAAAAGGGGTCGTTGATGCCCTTCGAACTTGGTTGTTTTCCTGCAGACGTTTCATTACCCAACCAGGTAACATCATCAGTGCTAGAAGGAACTCTACAGCACTGATGATGTTCCCTAGTTGGGTAATGAAATGTCTGCAAGAAAACAACCAAGCTCAGAGACTGCCAAGGACTCCACAATATGCATCTACTATGGTGGAACATCTACACAATCTAATGAAGTTGAGCTGCAATAATACAATGTACTGATTTACTGAGGGACGCAGTGGCTCAGTGGCTAAGAGGCTGAGCTTGTCGATCAAAAGGTCGGCAGTTCGGTGGTTCGAATCCCTAGCGCCGTGTAATGGGGTGAGCTTCCGTGACTTGTCCCAGCTTCTGCCAACCTAGCAATTCGAAAGCACGTTAAAAAAAATGAAAGTAGAAAAAATAGGGACCACCTTTGGTGGGAAGGGAACAGTGTTCCGTGCGCCTTTGGCGTTGAGTCATGCCGGCCACATGACCACGGAGACGTCTTCGGACAGCGCTGGCTCTTCGGCTTTGAAACGGAGATGAGCACCGCCCCCTAGAGTCGGGAACGACTAGCACATAAGTGTGAGGGCAACCTTTACCTTTACTGATTTACTATAAAGGGGTGAAAACCTGAATAGGGACCCCTGAGGAAGAACCGATAACCCTGACAAAGTGCAAGGTTAGAAGCCTAAATAACCACCTCTGCTAAGCAATGTTTGGGTTGCATGCATGCTAGACTGAAAATCTTTCCATCTTCATCTTTCTGGGCCAATGGAACAAAACCTGAGCTGGCTACATGTATCACAAAATCAATTATAGCAGTGGCATCAGTACAGATGGGGAATGTGAAAAGAATTTCTGGCTGGTAAGAACTAATAATAGGAGTGAGACAGCTGTGTGGTTTTATGCAAGGACAATTTTTGGTTTGGAAGTACTGAAAAGTTATACAGGGGAAGTTTCGAAGATTGTAGCTTAAGAGCTGTTTACTATGAGATGAGTGGAGAAAGAAAGAAAGAGAAAGGAAGGAAGGAAGAAAGAAAGAGAGAAAGAAAGAAAGAAAGAAAGAGAAAGAAAGGAAGGAAGGAAGAAAGAAAGAAAGAAAGAAAGAAAGAAAGAAAGAAAAGAAAGAAGGGAGGGAGGGAGGGAGGGAGGGAGAAGGGAAGGGAAGGGAAAGGAAAGGAGGGAAGGGAAAGGAAAGGAAAAGAAAAGAAAAGAAAGGAAAAGAAAAAAGAATGGAGGAAGTAAAGTGAAGGAAGAAGGGAAGGGAAGGGAAGGGAAAGGAAGGAAGGGAAAGGAAGGAAGAAGGGAAGGAAGGGAAAGGAAAGGAAAGGAAAAAAAGGAGGAAGGGAAGGAAAGAAAAGGAAGAAGGGAAGGGAAGGGAAGGGAAGAGAAGGGAAGGAAAGGAAAGGAAAGGAAAGGAAAGGAAAGGAAAGGAAAGGAAAGGAAAGGAAAGGAAGAAGGGATTACTTCTCTTGCTGTTCTGAGTAAAACGAGATCATGATTTCATTTTCCTCGCTTTCGTTCTCTTTCTTTCTTGGAATATGAAGGAGATAAAGGGTTATGAAGATGGGTGGGACTTCAATTCCCAAAATTCCCCAACCAGCCAGCTGGGGAATTCTGGGAGTTGAAGTCCCACCCATTTTCAGCCTGCGAAAATTGAGAAACAATATTCAGAGATTAAAATCAGGAGAGTGGAGTGAGTTTTAACTACAATGTTGTTAAGACTTTTTAAACAGCAGTTCTACTCTGCTTCTAACCTGGACTGATGGCGCAGTAGGAAACACCCATCAGCCACCTGCATTTCCTCCATCAGAGTGAACATCTTCCGGTTTTCTTTTTTAAAAAAATATATATATCATTTTCCTTCTCCGTAGATACCAGTATCCCTTGGACGACTCGACGTGGATTGAGTGGTGGCCCTCCCCAAATGCCGCCTGTGATTCTTGCCAAACCTTTCGAGAATCATTGGACGAATTTGTTGACGATCTCTTTCTCAGCGGTTGTTAAATTCCTGAAAAAACCTGCAAAAGACTTCGGGCTTCGTGTAACCTGGCATTTTAGACAGTTTCTTATGGACTTCTACGGTTATCATAAGCAAGTAGGGGATATATGATCATGCTTTAGATCAGGGATCTCCGTACTTGGCGAGACTTTAAGACTTGCGGACTTCAGCTCCTAGAATTCCTCAGCCACTATGGATGGCTTTGGGCCAATCACCAGGAGACTGAGAGTTCTAGTCTCGTTTTTAGGCACGAAAGTTGACTGGGTGACTTTGGGCCAATCACCAAGAGACTGAGAGTTCTAGTCTCATTTTAGGCATGAGAGCTGGCTGGATGACTTTGGACCAATCACCAGGCGACTGAGAGTTCTAGTTTCACCTAAGGCACAAAAGTTGATTGGGTGACTTTGGGCCAATCACCAAGAGACTGAGAGTTCTAGTCTCATTTTAGGCATGAAAGCTGGCTGGATGACTTTGGGCCAATCACCAGGAGAGGGTGAGTTCTAGTTCCACCTTATGAAAGCTGTCTAGGTGCCTTTGGGCCAGTTCCTCTCTTTCAGCCCAAACTCGCCTCACTAGCTAGTTTGCTAAGCCTTCCTCCTTCCTCCAACCTTATATCATCATCAAAAGCCTACCCACCTCTTATGTAGCTGACTGTTTAAACCTCAACAAAAGCCAATTCAAAAGTTTCTAGTCCTCATGACTCCTTGAAATTGTAGGCTATGCTTACCGGAATTTCAAAACTGAGCAGGAAAGAAGACGATTCCCAACAGTCAATAAAAATGTTTTGGTCCTGTCCTTTTTCCTGATTTAAAAAAAAAAAATGATCATCATAATAAATCACTCAGCCTTCATAGTTTATATGCATATGTAAAATTTTATATATAATAAATCACTTTGAATTTTGCATTTGTTAAAAAGGGTCAGTAAAATAATTTATATCATTGAAAGATGTAAATCACAGGATAGCAAGATCATTTCTGCTTCAGGAAAAAAAAAAAGAGGGAGATAAATTTCTAATTTCAAGAACACATCCAGCTCTAGATATTTCCCTTCTACAAGTCCCCCTTTTTCCTTTTTCTTTTTTAAAGGGGGAAAAAATAAAAACCCTCCTCAGAACATGGCAAACATAAGCCCAAAACTCATTGATTCACAAAAGTGGGTGTGACAATCTACAATCATCACCATCATCATTTAACAACCCCATAATCCCTTGCGGAGTGGAATCTGGGCAACTGAACGGAGCTGAGTGTTTAACTGGCCGGATGCCCTTCCTATCACCAATGTGGAGTTTTGTTCGGCAGATATATTCCCAGAAAGAGAAATATTAGGATCGAACTCACAGCCTCCTGATTGTGAGGTGAGAGCTCCACCTCTTTGCCACTGCACCACTCCTGTGACAATCTACAAAACAATACCAGGACTTTTTTTTATAGAGATACACCTCGACGTGCAACGGTTCATTTCGTGACCGGTTCAAAGTTACACTGAAGAAAGTGAGCGTTTTTCACACTTAGCAGCTGTGATAGCATCCCCATGGTCACGCGGTCAAAACCAGCTCAGCGACTGTTTCACACGGCCATTGCTGTGTCCCAAGGTGACCTCCTTAGTAGCCACATATCACTGAACCACCCAGGTTCCTAACTTAACAACTGCAAAGATTCACTTCACAACAGTGGCCAGAAAAGTCGTACAAACGGGACCCAAAACTCGCTGAACAAACATTTCACTCAGCAGCGTCAACTTTGGGCTCGACTGTACGTCGAGAACCACCTGTACTCCGTGCAAAAAAAAAAATCCAAGTTCGATGATCTGGAAGAAAGGGCTGTGTAGTAGCCCCTTCCACAGAGGTGGTAAACAACGCAGGAGCAACTTTTGAAGTGTTGAGTAAGTTGTGGCCTCAAAATGCAAGTCGAAACTAACAATAAGTTTTTCGGTACTTTCCGCAGCTGACCAATTTCCTCTGGTAAATCCCTTTCAGCCCCATCCTTCCGACGACTGCAGAGAGTAAGCTAAAACCACCCCCCCAAGCACAAGAGGATGTGGCTGGCACAGAGCTCAACACCTCGGATTCCCCTAATTTAGACAGCCAATCTTGCAGCCGAAAGATTTACAAAAGCAACCTTGTGTAGGTGGAAACCGATACAGTTTGCAAAACTGCAGATACTGGATTGCTGGGTGTTTTGCAAAAAAACTGTTTCCCCCCCCCCCCCCCCCACCTTAACAAGCAGCAAAATGCAGCTTTGTCACAAAGGCTCTTGCAAGCTAACACATTTGCCTTGGAGATGGTTATATTTGGTTTCCAGGATCCTTGGTCCTGGATCTTGTCTCTCTCTCTCTCTCTCTAAAAAAAAAGAGGGATTTGTTTATTTTGCTGAAGACAAAACATGATGCAAAATCAGGGAAGATCATTCGCTCCCTTAAGGGTCGGGATAAATTTGGACTTCGAGGGTGTGAAAGCCTGTTTAAGTGGCTGTTTGCAATAAAGAATACGGGCATTTATTTTCTTGCAAAAGTTTGGGAATCCCGAAGGGCTGAGACACTGAGATTAGAGAGCTTTCTCAGTTTGACCCACCACAATGCTTCTCGCGGCATAAGAGAGATACCACAAAATATGCTTTGTTTTCATCTAATACCAGCTTCAGGTTATATCTGGGCTACTGATTGGTTTAGTTGTGGGACGGGAGACAGTGAACAAGTGGGCCAGCCTAGAAGTTGGAAAATATTCTAGAAGACATAAAGGTAGAACAACTTTCATATGATGCCAAGAAAGTTTGTGTGGATGTATCACACACAGTTTAAGCTCTACTTATTAAAGGAGATGTTTACTTCGCTATGATGATGAAGTGGGTTATTGTGCAGTAGTAGCATCTTGGTGAAGGATGCTCAAGTCACATGAGGTGGAGGAGAAGGAGAGAAAGAGGAGAAGGAGGAAGAAAAGGAGGAGGAAGAGAAGATAGAGAAGGAAGTGAAGGAGTTGATAAAGAAGGAGATGAAGAAGAGGAGGAGGAGAAGGAGAAGATAGACAAGGAGCTCAAGTTCACAAAAGTCTCACTTATTTTGGCCATGTCGTGCAGGAGAATTCACTGGAGAAAGTAATTATGTAAGGAAGAGTTAGCAGTCAAAGGAAAACAGGTTACCAAAGGACAAGATGGTTGCATATCATAAAAGCTGCTACCAGCCAGAGCATAGAAAAATTCAAAGAAGTAGGGCAAGATCAGAATACGTGGAGAGATCTGGCCATTAGCATCACCAAAAATCAGACACGACTGAATGGATAAGATCATCAATGTCATCAGATAAGGAGAAGGAGAAGATGGACAGGAGAAGGAAGAGGAGAAGTAAAGGAAGAGGAGAAGGAGGAGGAAGAGGAAGAGGAGGAGGAGGAAGAGGAGAAGGAAAGGTAGAGAAGGAGAAGAAGATAGACAGGAGGAGAAGAGGAGGAGGAGGAGGAGGAGGAGGAGGAGAAGGAGAAGGAGGAGAAAGAAAGAGAAGGAGAAGAAGATAGACAGGAGAAGAAGGAGGAGGAGGAGAAAAAAGATAGAGAAGGAGAAGAAGATAGACAGGAAGAGAAGAGAAGGAGGGGGAAAGGAGAAGGAGGAGAAAGAAAGAAAGAAGAAGAAGAAGAAAGGTAGAGAAGAAGGAGAAGAAGAAGGAGGAGGAGGAGGAGGAGAAAGGAGAAGGAGAAAAAAGGTAGAGAAGGAGAAGAAGATAGACAGGAGAAGAAGGAAGAGGAGGAGGAGGAGAATTAGTCAATGAATAGTTCATAAAACCAACTGCATACATAAAACATATTGATAAACCATTTAGGCAAACAGATCATCGGACATCTTACATATATGAAAAAACCTTGCGGGCGTCTGCACAACCTCCTAGAGCAAACAGCTCTTAGGAGCATCAGCTCAGTGATCAGTTCAAGCCAAACAAAACAGCTCAACTCTCATCTTCGAACAGCTTGGCTTGGATTATATCTGCCAGCTGCCCTCGGAAAGCTCATTTGGGGCTAATGAAGTCAAAGGAGCCGAAGCCTCGGAGATAAGAACAAACTTCACCGGATCCAGCTTTTATCAATATTATTAACGGCTCTCCGGCTCGTTTCAATACCCAAAAGCTCCATTTGTGCTGAGAAAATAGGTCAGCCTAAGAGCTACTACGGTAGAGATAATGGGAGGATTTGGGGCACCAAGTCGCAGGAGGGACAGAAGGGACCCCCCCCCCAAAGCCGGGGGGGGGAGGGGAAGAGAGGAGAATTGTTTTCCATAGGATGAAAAATCCTGCCCCCAACCTCCCTCAGGAGACCCTTCCACAAAGTTGAATTTGTACGCCCACATCTCGGCATTATTCATTTGACACAGGCAGTCCTCAACTTACGACCACAACTGGGCTCAACCTTTCTGTTGCTAAGTGAGACAGTTCAGTGCAATTTCCCCCCCTCTCATTTCACTATCTTTCTTGCCGCAGATGTGGTTGTGAAACCGGCAACACGGTGAATCCGGCTTCCCCGTTGACTTGGCTTGCCAGAAGGTCGCAAAACGGGGATCAGGTGACACCGCAACCGTCATAAGTACATGCCAGTTGCCAGTGATCTGAATCTCAATCGCGTGACCACGGGGAAGCTGCAACGGCTGTAAGGATGGAAAACGGTCATAAGTCACTTTTCCCACTCTTGTCGTACCATCGGTCGCTAAACAAGCTGTTGATTTACTTGTAAAGGTGAGCCTGGGAACAGGTCAAAATCTTTCCTTATCTCCTCCCTCTGCAAAGCCTAAGACCCCCACCCCACCCCACCCCACCCCAGCCCCCCTATCCCATGGAGAGGAATCTCTTTTTTTTAATGGGTTTCGCTGGATATTGTGGCCCTTGATTCATGCTCGCTGGCTCGCCTTTCCTGCCCTCTGCACTGCGTTGTCGTCATCATCATCATCATCGCTGTGTTTTCGGGGGAATTCAAAGGCTGGCTCTGTAACTTCCTGTCACAGCTGCCTCAAACCTTTCTGCTGGGCTCCATTCAGCCCAGCCCAGCATCCTTGGAAGGAATGAAATCTTGCTGGCTTTCAAATCAACCCAGCAGGCCAGAGAGACACTTTGGTCCTTGGGGAGGGGTCTCTTCCTGAGCGTTGCCAGCAGCGCGACGTTGATCTGAAGTCCCTAGTTCCTCCCTCCCCCTCTCTCTTTCTCTCTCGTTGTACAGGAGCTGCTGCGGATGGCAGACAGACAGAGAAGCAGTAGCAGCTGTGGTCCTCCCCCACCAGCCAGCTCCTCTCTGGATGGCACCAACCCGCTTTGCATCTGTGCCAATGCTGGGGAGCCGAAAGACCTCTGCAGTCACAGCACGGTCTTCCTGCAGGAAGACCTGAGAAATCTCCGCAGGAACCCCTATTACACAGCCTGCCTAACCTGGATGATACGGTGAGTCTCCTTTTGCAAGAGGGAGAGGAACACGTGATGAAGTGGGAGAGGAGGGAGGGGGGCAGAGACGTAGGGTGGGGGAAAAAAGGAGATGCAGTCAGGAGAAGAGGAGGGAGAATGAGACATGGGGGGAGTGGAGATAACCTAGGGGGAGAGGCATGGGGCGGTCAAAAGGGAGGGGAATGATGAATGGAGAAAGCTAGAGAGTCCATTAGCTTACCTGTCTAGGAGGCGCGCATCCTGTTCAAAAGATGGAGACAAGATCTCATCCGTGACTGACATCAGCATCTGCCAGCTGAGAATGAAGTCAGGACAGCTGTTCTGCCTCCTGCGAGAGCGACTGAATCTTTCAAACATCCATTACTCCCCGCCTCAGTTTGGATGGAGAAGGATCGTCTCACCTTATTCTCCTTCAACTAGACCATAGGGTGGACCGGGATGCTGGGAGAAAGTAACAGAGTAACGGAATCAGAAGGTTTGGGATCAAAGCTGTTAGACTAATCAGGCTTTGGATGGATCTGATGGCGTGCTCCACTTAAGTAGAATACCAGAATCCCAGAGCTGGAAGAGGATGTCCCTTCCAACTCTGTTATTCTATTCTGTTCTACCTCAGAGGTCTTCTAATCAAGCAGGAGACCCTATTCCATTTTGGACAAATGGCTGTCCAATCTCTTCTTGAAAACCTCCAATGATGGAGCAACCCACAACTTCTGGAGGCAACTTCCGTTCCACTGATTAATTGTTCTCACTGTCTGGAAATTTCTCCTTAATTCTAATTTACTGGTAATGTCCCCTTGATTAAATGTCTGTAAAGATTCTCAGTCATCCAAGTCATGGTTCTCCCAAAGGTGCTTTTTCATGAGGCATCTGGACTTTCTAGTTTTACTTTGAAGACGTTTTGCTTCTCATCCAAGAAGCTTCTTCAGCCCTCCGTGATAAGTTTCCATCCATTGCTTCTTGTCTTGCCTTCAGGTGCTTTGAAGAATAGGTTGACCCCCTCTTCTTTGTGGCAGCCTCTCAAATACTGGAAGACTGCTATCATGCCCCCCTTAGTCTTTCTTTTCACTAGACTAGATATACCCAATTCCTACAACCGTTCTTCATATGTTTGAGCTTCCAGCCCCCTAATCAATTTTCTTGCTCTTGAACTGAGGTAGGGAAGAATTGTAGAAGGGCTCCTGTTAGCCAAAAGCCCTCAAGCTGCTCCCAGCTCCATATCCTGGCTGGCTGGGCATATGGTGGCCAACAGAACCAAGAATTGGTTCCACCACAGAAGATTGGTTCTTCTGTGATCGCCCTAATGGTTTTTTAAAAGTTGGAGGAGAAAATTCAGAGATATTTGAGAAGGACCCCCCATGAAACCCCAATGCATGGATCAACTGCCAAAGTCTAAAGGTAAAGATTCCCCTCGCACATTTGTGCTAGTCGTTCCTGATTCTAGGGGGTGGTGCTCATCTCTGTTTCAAAGCCGAAGAGCCAGCGCTGTCCGAAGACGTCTCCGTGGTCATGTGGCCGGCATGACTCAACGCCAAAGGCGCACGGAACGCTGTTCCCTTCCCACCTATTTTTCTACTTGCATTTTTTAGGTGCTTTTGAACTGTTAGATTGGCAGAAGCTGGGACAAGTAACGGGAGCTCACTCCGTTATGCGGCACTAGGGATTCGAACCGCTGAACTGCCGACCTTTCGGATCGACAAGCTCAGCGTCTTAGCCACTGAGCCACCGTGTCGCTTTTATCATTATATATAAACTTTATTTATATTGGAACTGAACCCAGAAGGATAATTCTTCTGATAAACCTTAGGATGACTTTGGAAAGGCTAAACAATAGTTTGTTTTGGTTTTTGCAGACGTCATAGAAACGCGTACTACGTTATTAGGCAATTCATTCTGCTTCCTCTCTGCTTTAATCTCATAGCAACCCCATCGAGTGGATTAAACTAGATTAAAGCAAGGAAAACAAAACCAGGCTTTCTTGGTGAACTAAAAAAACCCGTTATCTTTCCACCGGCCATCCTTGTCCAAAGCACTGTCTGCTTTTCCACCATAGCAATAGTCCTTAGACTTATATACCGCTTCACAGTGCTTTTACAGCCCTCTCTAAGCGGTTTACAGAGTCAGCCTCTCGCCCCCAACTATCTGGGTCCTCATTTTACCCACCTTGGAAGGATGGAAGGCTGAGTCAATCTTGAGCCGGTCAGAATCGAACTGCTGGCAGTCGGCAGCATCACCCTGCAATCCTTGTTTCTAGCCAATGTACCACCAAGGAAGGAAGGAAGGAAGGAAGATAAGGAAAGAAGGAAGAAGAGAAGGAAGGAAGGAAGGAAGGAAGGAAGGAAGGAAGGAAGGAAGGAAGGAAGGGGAAGGGAAGGGAAGGGAAGGGAAGGGGAGGGAGGAAGGGAGAAATAGCAATAGCCCTGAGATTTATATACTGCTTCACAGTGCTTCACAGCCCTCTCTAAGCAGTTTACAGAGTCAGCCTCTGGCTCGCAACAATCTGGGTCCTCATTTTACCTCTTTTGGACCATTGAGATTGGGGTGCCTGGTGGGGTTATTTGATTAGTTTAGATAGATTGTCCCTATTTGTGTTTCCTGGGTGATGATCGGAGTCAAGGCTAATCTTGGGGAAAGGTGTGGAAAATGTAAATTCTGTGTGGCTTTGCATTTCCTGATTTAATCCTTAATCCTGTCCATTCAACCTGCCTCCGTCTTCTAACTGAGGTTACTTGAGGCCATTTTACCTGGGAGGCAAGGATTGCTTTAGCATCTATGGATGGTTTTTCTTTGCCTTCATCTGGAAATAAAGAGAGGGTGAGAATCTTACAATTCTTCCTTCTTCTTCTGCCATATCCATCATCGGACGTTGGCGATCATGTTGGCGATCCTATTTTTATCAACAGCCGCATGAAAAAGTGCTGCTGAGTTTTGTCCAAACCGGTCCCTTAGATTTGGAAGCCATGATCATCTTCTTCTGCCTGGACCTCGTTTGCCTTCAATCTTTCCTTGGAGGATTAAGTGAAGGATGCTGTCATTTTTCCAGGTGTCGCATCCCATGTCCAAAATATTCTAACTTTAGCTTTTTAATGGCTTTTGATTATTTCCCTTGGCTTTTCCCAGGCGGCTTATCACCTCCTCATTTCTGATTTTGTCAACCCCAGTTTATACGTAACGGCTGCCTGTAAATCCACATTCCAAATGCTTCTGGTCTCTTCAAGTGGTTTTCTTTTGTCCAGAGACCAACTCTCTGCTCCGTAGAACAGGATAGAAAAGGTGTAGCATCTGACCTATTTTTTATTTTTATTTTTTATTATTATTCATATTTCTATGCCGCCCACTCTCCGAGGACTCTGGGCGGCTTACACCAAAGGCAGTATACTAAATAGCATATTGCCCCCAACAATCTGGGTCCTCATTTTACCCACCTCGGAAGGATGGAAGGCTGAGTCAACCTTGAGCCTGGTGAGATTTGATCCGCTGATCTGCTGAACTAGCAGTCAGCTGAAGTAGCTGCAGTACTGCACCCTAACCACTGCGCCACCTCGGCTCGATTCTGATTCTCCCTACTTAACTAAAATAGCCCTTTCCAGTTGTCCTTGGGAAGATTCCAATTTGAATCTCTTGGGAGCTGCTTTCTTTTTCTTTTCTTTTTTTTTCCCCCTGTTTGCTCAGAAATAATAGCAACCCCATTTGCCAGGATTGTAAAGAGGAAGATTCGGAACTTGCCGGGGAAGATAATTTACTATCTGAAGAACAGGTATGTCCTTTCCATTGAACTTTGCAATGGTTCCGTTATGTGTAACCTGCACCAGGGGAGAGTTGACAAACTCTCACAAAATGGTGTTGTCATGGCCAGGGGTGGGCTGCTGGGGGTTCGCAGGGGTTCGGGAGAACCTCTAGCTAAGATTCTGTGCAGAATGAGTTAATTCTCCCGCTGTTCTAATAAAGTCTGTTTGTTTTGGAATTGTTTACATCTAATACTACCTACCTGGGCCTGGGTCACAACAATCAAGGAATTTAAATATGGTCTTATTGGATCTCGCTAAAGCTGGCTCCATTTCATTTCAGCCCCCATTTTTCAAACCATGGTTTTGGCCTGAAGATGGGCAATTCCAGCCCCTGGAGCTCATCAACCCAGGTTTATAACCTCACAAGTTTTGTGAACCTGCCTACTCGTGTGTTCTGACCCAGCCTTAGCGGAAGCAAGAAACAGACTCCTGGTCACGAAAAACTCCTCTTTATTTACCTCTTGTGAATTAATTGCATTCACCCACCAAAAATTCCAGGCAATAGTCCTTCAAGGAGTTAATTGCAGTAACAGACCTTATCAGTTCCTTGCGATAATTGCCAGGCCCTGGGCTCCGATAATTGCAAGGCCATGAGCTCCCAGCCGAAAGGCTGCAAATTAAGTTCTGGCAAGCAGTCTCTGTAGCTCGAAACACAATGAGCAAAATCTTCAGAAATACGAACGGTTGTCTCCTACGACAACCACTCCCCTTCTATTTATTCCCCAGCCAGGAAGGGGCCATTCAGCATCCATGTGTGCTTTGCTTCCCAAGTCAACTCCTTGTCCTCCGTTGTTCTCCTCTCCTAACTGCTCTGCGCATACGTGCATCTGGAACAGGCCCCAGCTGTTCTTCCTCCTCCTCACTCATCTCAGCAGCTCCAAAGCAGCTGCCTCAGGTGGCTGGGAAATGTCGGACGACCCTGGCTCTATCTCTGCATCAGACGCAGAGCATCCATCAGAGCCTTCCCCAGACTCCAGAACCGGCCCAAGTTCCTCCCCAACCTCCTCATCGTCCGAGTGTGCCGCCAGCTCTGCTGGCAGCTGGCGGGCCACAACATCGTGTTTTTAACTCAGCTTTCCATAGCTAAAGAAATCATGGTATTGCAAGAGTTCATCGTGCTGACATTTGATGTGTGTCCTTGTTTGCTTCCAGAGTCCTAGCAAGGCCACCCTGAACAAGGAGGTTCCGGAATTTACCGTGCATTGTGGGATACCAGGATGCATCTGGAGGGGTCCACTGAGCAATTTGGAAGTAAGGGAGAAGACATATTGGCTGGGGACTGGCTAATTGCATGCTGAGGAAGAACGGAATGGATCTGGGAGATCCATTCTCCAATCTGGGTCTTCATTTTACTGACCTCGGAAGGATGGAAAACTGAGTCAACCGTGAGCTGGTTGAGAATCGAACTGATGGCAGTTGGCAGAATTAGCCTACAATGCTGCATTCTAACCACTGCAGCACCATGGAAGGAAGGAAGGAAGGAAGGAAGGAAGGAAGGAAGGAAAGAAGGAAGGGAGGGAGGGAGGGGGGGAGGGAGGGAGGGAGGGAGCAAAAACAATAGCAGTAGCAATAACAATAGCACTTAGACTTATATACCACTTCACAGTGTGTTAAGTTAACCTTGAGCTGGTCAGGATCAAATGCATGGCAGTTTGCAACTCAGCCTACAATACTGCATTCTAATAACTACAGCACCACGGAAGGAAAGGAAGGAAGGAAGGAAGGAAGGAAGGAAGGAAGGAAGGAAGGAAGGAAGGAATAGCAATAGCACTTAGACTTATATACCACTTCACAATGCCCCCAACAATCTGGGTCCTCATTTTACCCCCCTCGGAAGGATGGAAGGCTTCTTTTTATGCACATGTTTTTTGATCTCCCCTTCCTCGTAGATGCTCTTAAATTCCTATCAAAATCAAATTCCTTTTCTCTAGGGGTAAACTTTTTGCAAAAACGTATCTTGCAGGATCATCGCCGTATGTGTGAATACGTCCTGGTCAATTATGGTCAGGCAGCGGTGTGCAGGATGTTGATGGATCCGAATGCTGCCTATAATCCCGAGACTTCCAGGAATGAACATCAGGTCCTGCATTAAATTTGTCTGATTTTCTGTATTTCAATTGCATACGTCCACCTCTCCGTCTTGCGACTTGATATCTCTGTATCTGTTTGTTATCTGTTGTCTATCATCCATCCGTCCGTCCGTCCGTCCTCTTCTTTCTCTCACCATCCACTTACCTCTTTCATCTTTCCTTCCATTTTTGCCTATCCTTTTCTGAACAGAATCCTTCAGGACTTGGCCCCAGGGATGAAGGTTGCCGATTTTCCAGGATTGGATGCTTGTTTAAGGTAGGGCTGGGAAGCCGTGAGCATCAGTATTTATTTATTTAGTTAGTTAGTTTGTCAAACTTGTACGAGATAACAAGAATAAGTATCAACATGGGTATGAATACAGGAAATGGATATGAATAAATGGGGACAGTAGGACAGGTATGGTAGGCACTCAGGTGCGCTTATGCACACCCCCTTATAGACCTCTTAGGAATGGGGTGAGGGGGTCAAATTAGTCTCCAAAGCGCCAGAAGGCAGGACAAGAAACAATGGATGGAAACTATTCAAAGAGAGAAGCAACTTAGAATAGGAGAAACTTCCCAACAGAAAAGTACAATTAAAGGGAACATTAGGACAGGGACGGTAGGCACGCTGGTGCACTTATGCACGCCCCCTTACAGACCTCTTAGGAATGGGGTGAGGTCCACAGTAGGCAGTTTAAGGTTAAAGTTTTGGGGGTTTGAGGATGTAATAACAGAGTCAGGTAGTGCATTCCAGGCATTGACCACTCTGTTGCTGAAGTCGTATTTTCTGCAGTCGAGTTTGGAGCGGTTTACCTTGAGTTTGTATCTATTGTGTGCTCGTGTATTATTGCAACTGAAGCTGAAGTAGTCATTGACCGGAAGTACACTGTAGTGGATAATTTTGTGTACTACACTTAGGTCGGACCGTAGGCGGCGTAGTTCTAGGTTGTCCAAGCCCAAAATTTCAAACCTGGTGGCATAAGGATTCCACTGTGAGCAGAGGAGTGGAGGACTCTTCTTGTGAAATATTTCTGGACTCGCTCAATTGTGTTAATGTCTGATATACAGTGCAGATTCCAAGCAGACGAGCTGTATTCGAGAATTGGTCTGGCAAAGGTTTTGTATGCCCTAGTTTGCAGTACAATGTTACCGGAGAAGAAGCTTCGCAAGATTAGGTTTACAACTCTTAATGCTTGTTTAGCAATGCTGTTACAGTGAGTTCTGTGTCAGGGCATTTATTAATCCCATGTTTGGCTCTGGGACTAATCACCCTGGTTTAATTAGAGGAGATGAATCGAGGCTTATTCCTTGTTGCAATATTCTGAAAAAGAAACGCGAAGAAAAGTTTCTAATAAAACTCATTTATTTGTTATAAAGAAAATAAAACACCTCACTAACTAAGAAAAGTTAATTGCTACATTTTTGAAAGTAATTCTTGCTGGCTATCTCAGCCAGACCTTGCTGGAAAGAGAACAAAGGAAAGAGTGTGAGAAGCAAGTGAAGGAATGTGGGTGGATACGGAAACACGTAGCTTACTGATAAGAAGTTGGCAAGCTACGGAGAGTCTGACAGTCCAGAAATGATGAGTTCAGCTGGCAAATAAAATAACGCAGTGACATTCTGGGGCTTAGATCATTTGAGATGAGTACAGGAGCTCTGGCAAGGTGTGGACACTCCAGCTGGTATCTTTGACGGATTCCAGGCTGAAGAGTCGTCAAACAGGACCAAAGCATGAGTCCTTCTCCTGTCAAGGGTGCCATGTTTCTTCCCAATAGGGCAATGCAGGAGATCAAAAAGTTCACGAGAAGAATGCTGCAGGAAGACACCTGTTGCTGATGCTCCAGTACGTCAAGCACCTGAAGGGCAATTCGTCCCCGAGAGACAGTTTGTGCAACTCACCTTTGATAGACGCCAAGCTTTGGGTGAAGGCTCCTCTCACCCTGAAGGTTCAGGATCCTGGGGGAGAAAGGCCCTTTTCTGCATCGCCAGTGGAGGAGGGGGAGGTGAGCTGGTGCACCCTCTTGAGGAGAGTGAAGAGGGTTTCTTGGCTGGAGACCAAGCTGCAGGTCTTTGAGAATATCGCCTCTGTGCTGAGCAAGGAGATGGCTACGTCTCGGCAGAAAATCCTGGCTTTCCGTGGACAGAGGGGCCTTGACCAAGATATGATTCGTGGCTTAGAGCTGAAGGTAAGCCAGTGGGGAGGTGTAGGAGAAGGAGTAAGCAGAATCTGGGGGCGGAGTCAAAAGAAGGATCAGCCTAGAATCCCTATGTAGTCACAAAGGAGCCTGGATAGCTCAACAGACTAAGCACTGTAATTTAACACCATCTGTCTGCAATTAAAGTAAAATCGAATCTCGCCAGGCTCAAGGTTGACTCAGCCTTCCATCCTTTCTAAGGTAGGTAAATTGAGGACCCAGTTTGTGGGGGCAATAAGCTGACTTTGTATAAAAAAATATACAAAAGTATGAAGGCTATTGCTTAACGCACTGTAAGCCGCCCTGAGTCTCCGAAGAAGGGCGGCATATAAATCAAATTAAAAAAAAAAAAGAACTAAGTCTAACTCCCCTTGAATTCTGTTAACCCTTATTTAAATCCAAGCAAATACTAATAATTAGTTGAGAAGATTCCTAATGCACTCTGTATTTTTCGGAGTGTAAGACGCACCTACCTTTTTTTGGTGAGGAAAACAAGAAAAAGAAATCTGCCTCTGCCTCTGCCTCCCAGCAATTTTGCCTTGCTGCAGCAAACAGCAAACAGCCTGCTTTACTTTCATTTTCGTTTTCAGCATAGCTTGATTAGCACAAGGGAAAAAAAAATCTGTTCAGTGATGACCGCATCCCTGGGATGCGGTGGCTCAGCGGCTAAGACGCTAAGCTTGTTGATCGAAAGGGTTGGCAGTTCGGCGGTTCGAATCCCGAGTGCCGCGTAATGGGGTGAGCTCCCGTGACTTGTCCCAGCTTCTGCCAACCTAGCAGTTTGAAAGCACGTAAAAAAAAATGCAAGTAGAAAAATAGGCACCACCTTTGGTGGGAAGGTAACAGCGTTCCGTGCGCCTTTGGCATTGAGTCATGCCGCCCACATGACCACGGAGATGTCTTCGGACAGGGCTGGCTCTTCAGCTTTAAAACGGAGATGAGCACCGCCCCCTAGAGTCGGGAACGACTAGCACATATGTGCGAGGGGAACTTTTACACTGGAACTCCCATCGGGGTCATAAGTCGAGGACCACCTGTACAAAACAGCCCTTTATCTCTGCTAGGTAAACCCTTTAAAAAACCGAATTTTTTTCCTCTCGAAGATGGCTGATCTCCAGCGATGCCTGGCACAGAAAGACGCCGCTCTCATCGGGCTGGGGAAGAGACTCCACTCGTCCGAGCAAGCTTCTTATGACGGCGTCTTCCTTTGGAAAATCACGGACGTTCATCAGAAATGCTACGAAGCCATCTGTGGCAAGATCCACAGCTTCCAGTCGCCGGGTGAGCCTCTCGCATCACAGCCAGCCTTTCCAACCATCCAAAGGGGTTTTAGCTCTTGGAGGGAGTCACAATCCCGTGCATTTTGAGGGCGCCAGGTTGGAGAAGGGTGGTGGTTCAGAAATGGAGTCAGTATTAGGACCAGGCAGGCTGAAATAGTCAAGAGGACTTTGGGCATCTCTCTGCTGTTCCTTAAAGATGCTCATGTTTTTTGAGCCTTTATTTGAGGGTGAAAAAATCTTCCTTCCTTCCTTCCTTCCTTCCTTCCTTCCTTCCTTCCTTCCTTCCTTCCTTCCTTTCTTCTTTCCCTTCCAATTCCCCTCTCTCCCTTCCCCCCTCCAATTCCGATTCCTTCCTTCCTTCCCCCTTCCTCTTCCCCTCCCTCCCTTCGTTTCTCTCCAGTTCCCCGTCAGTCCTTCCTTCCTTTCCTTTCTTCCTTCCCCTCCAATTCCCTTCCCTCCCTCCCCTCCAATTCCCATTCTTTCCTTCCTTCCTTCCTCCCTCCCTCCTTTCCTTTCTCTCCAATTCCCCGTCAGTCCTTCCTTTCCTTCCTTCCTTCCCATCCAATTCCCATTCCTTCCTTCCTCCCTCCCTTTCTCTCCAATTCCCCGTCAGTCCTTCCTTTCCTTCCTTCCCCTCCAATTCCCCTCCCTCTCTTCCTTGCTTCTCCTTCCCTTCCCTCTCCTCCCCCACCCTCCTCCTCGTCTCATCCCATATAAAACGGCTTCTTAACTTCCACGTTCTCCTTCTTTTCAGCATTTTACACTTCCCGATATGGCTACAAACTGTGCATGAGGATCTACCTGAATGGAGAAGGCAGAGGCAGAGGAACCCACATCTCGCTCTTCATCATACTTCTCAAAGGGGAATATGACTCGCTGCTGCCTTGGCCTTTCACGCACAAGGTAACGGAGGCCTGTTGTTGCCACCATGAAGAGAAACTGTACCAAGGAAGAAAGGATTCCATTCCATTCCTTTCCATTCTATATCCCATCCCATCCCATCCCATCCCACTCTACTCTACTCTACTCTACTCTACTCTACTCTACTCTACTCTACTCTACTCTACTCTACTCTACTCTACTCTACTCTACTACATTCCATTCCATTCCATTCCATTCCATTCCATTCCTCCTTCTCTTCTCTTCTCTTCTCTTCTCTTCTCTTCTCTTCTCTTCTCTTCTCTTCTCTTCTCTTCTCTTCTCTTCTCTTCTCTTCCCTTCCCTTCCCTCCCCTCCCCCCCTCCCCTCCCCTCCAGGGGGGAAATCCAGCAGGTTCCAGCAGGTTCTGAAGAACCGGTAGTGGAAATTTTGAGCAGTTTGGAGAACCGGTAGCAGAAATTTTGAGTAGTTCCAAGAACCGGCAAATACCACCTCTGGCTGGTCCCAGAGTGGGGTAGGAATAGAGATTTTGTGGGATCCTTCTCCTGCCACGCCCACCAAGCCACACCACACCCACCAAGCCATGCCCACAGAACTGGAATGACTTGCCTCCAGAAGTTGTGGATGCTCCATCACTGGAGGAGAAAAAAACTGGGCAACCATTTATCTGAAATGGTATTGGGTCTGGGTTGGACTAGATGACCTCCAAGGTCCCTTCCAACTTTGTTATTCTGTATTCTAGTCTGAGATGGTGCGTGGGCTAGCTGGGTTTTACAGCACACACCTCCATGGATCAGCGGAAAGCAGTCAAACGAGGCTTAGGAGGGGAAAAGAGCCTTGGTAGTACAGTGGTCTAAAGCACCCTGTTATTAACATCAGCTGCCTGCAATTACTGCAGGTTCGAATCTCGCCAAGGCTCAAGGTTGACTCAGCCTTCCATCCTTTCTAAGGTAGGTGAAATGAGGACCCAGTTTGTGGGGGCAATAAGCTGACTTTGTATAAAGTCAGAAGTACATACAGAAGTATGAAGGCTATTGCTTAGCGCATTATAAGCCGCCCTGAGTCTCCGGAGAAGGGCAGCATATAAATCAAATTTTTAAAAAAAAAATGAAGAAAATACTGCTTTACTCTTAGATGGAGGAAGCCAGCAGTTGTTCAAAAATATCCAGAGAATAACTACACCATTGTGCATCATTCCCTTTCTTGATTTATAACGAGAGGCAAAAAAAATATAAGGAAACTCATAATAACAACAAGGGGAAACAAATAAAAATGCATGGCAAGCCCTAGTTTTTTTTTTTTTAAAAAGCAATCTAATTGTGAAAGCCGGGCTGAAGAAAATAAACACCAAACGGTTAAGATTTTTCATAGAACCGTCTCCTGTGAAAGCCAAAGAGCCTTCGAGCAGAACTTGGCAAAATTCCTGGAAATCCCTCAATGACAAATCAAAGGCAAAGTGTTTTGGATTTTTCTTCCGCTCCTTGACCAGCTTGACATAGTCGTTAAAAAAAAAACAACAACAACAACACCAAAAACCCAAGAGACAAGATAAAATAAATAAAACAGAATGGGATCCCAGCAATGCAAGGAACAGCGCCAGCAGGGGAGTAACCCAACTCTTGCCGGTGTGAATTTGGAGAGGTTTGAAGCCCGAATTCATTAGGGTGCAGGGGGGGGGGCGGGGGGGGGGTCTGAGGAAGATTTTTGAATACAGCTCATCTGTCTGGAACCCGCACGAGCAAATAATAGATACAAACTCAAGGTAAACTCAAGGTAAACCGTTCCAAACTCGATTGCAGAAAATATGACTTCAGTAACAGAGTAACAGAGCCTGGAATGCACTACCTGATTCTGTGGTTTCATCCCAAAAACCCCCAAATAATAACCCTTGGTTATTAAGACAGCTGCCTGCAATTACTGCCTGCAATTACTGCAGGTTCGAATCTCGCCAAGGCTCAAGGTTGACTCAGCCTTCCATCCTTTCTAAGGTAGGTAAATTGAGGACCCACTTTGTGGGGACAATAAGCTGACTTTGTATAAATATACAAAAGGATTAAGGCTATTGCTGAGCACATTGTAAGCCGCCCTGAGTCTCCGGAGAAGGGCGGCATATAAATCAAATTAAAAAAAAAAACTTTAACCTAAAACTGTCTACTGTTGACCTCATCCCATTCCTAAGAGGACTGTAAGGGGCGTCCATAAGAGCACCAGCGTGCCTACCATCCCTGTCCTAATGTTCCCTTTAATTGTACTTTTCTGTTAGGAAGTTTCTCCTTAATTCTAGGTTGCTTCTGTCTTTGATTAGTTTCCATCTATTGTTTCTTGTCCTGCCTTCTGGCGCTTTGGAGAATAATTTGACCCCCTCTTCTTTGTGGCAGCCCCCTCAAATACTGGAAGACTGCTATCATGTCACCCCTAATTCTTCTTTTCTTTAGACTACTAGGTATTCATGAAATTCCTTAAATCATAGAATCATAGGGCTGGGACCTCTTGTAGTCCAGCCCCTTGCTCAAAGCAGGAGACCCTCTTCCATTCCAGACAAACGGGTGTCCAATCTTTTCTTAATGAACCTGACCACTCTTTCACAAAAATTCTTTCCTTCCTATCCCATGAAAGACCATAAGAGACCCCTTCACGACTGGTCCAGGTGGGATGAGCATCGTTGGGACCTTGCCAAAGCCAATACCATTATAAAAATGGGGGGGTTTTTTGGGGGGGGGAGGAGGTACATTCCTGATCCTTCTTCTCCTGCCCCTTTGCTGTAAAGACGGGAGGACTTCCCGCTCCATTTTACCGGCCTCTCTTTGACCGTCTCTCTCGTTCAGGAAAACGAAAAGGAGAGACATCACTCTGCCAACAAAAGTGTGTATAGTCAAGGCTCTGGTTTTCCCAGTTGCGATGGATGGCTATGAAAGTTGGACCATAAGGAAGGCTGAGCGCCAAAGAATGGAGGCCTTTGAACTCTGGTGCTGGAGAAGACTCCTGTGAGTCCCTTGGACTGCAAGGCGATCCAACCGGTCAGTCCTAGAGGAGATCAACCCTGACTGCTCTTTAGAAGGCCAGATCCTGAAGAGGAAACTCAAATGCTTTGGCCACCTAATGAGAAGGAAGGACTCCCTGGAGAAGAGCCTAATGCTAGGAACAATTGAGGGCAAAAGAAGAAGAAGGGGACAAGAGAGAACGAGGTGGCTGGATGGAGTCACTGAAGCAGTCGGCATGAGCTTAAATGGACTCTGGGGGATGGTAGAGGACAGGAAGGCCTGGAGGAACAATTTCCATGGGGTCATGATGGGTCAGACATGACGTTGCAACTAACAACTCGTTCAGGACTAGGTTGAATATTTTTTTTTTTTGTAATAAGTTTTTATTTTATTTTATGATATACAAAAATTCCAACTAGGTTGAATATTTTGAGAACGGGCTCATCAAACACATTGTTGATCTTTCTGAGAAACGTGGAGGAGTTAGTTATAGCTGATGGAGAGAGAGAGAGATGCTGAATTTTGGAGCCCAGGCTTATAAGTTCAGGACAGAAAAGAGTCTTCCTTGCCAACTACGCAGAAGCTTTGTGAGATGAGATAACAGTATCCCTTGGAATGGACCGTATGCAATCTGGATACGGTCCATTCCATGGAGCAAGCTTCTTGTTCTCTCCCCTCCAGGAAGTCTTTCCAACGAATTGGCCTTGAGATATGTTGTCCTCACATTCTTGTTCAACCGCAAGAATTCCTCCATCTGTTGAACTTGAGATACGGGAAGAATCTCTGCTCCTTGAACCAGCCAACCTGTTCTTTGAAGATGAGCTTCAACCACAACAATACGCGAGCACACAATAGATACAAGCTTAAAGTGAACCGCTCCAGTCTGTATTCGGAAGTCCCAAGTAGTTTTGCATGCTCATTTTCGACCACTTTTTCAGGCTCATGATCCCACCAGTTCTTTGCTACAGGCAAAGAATTATTATTATTATTATTATTATTATTATTATTATTATTATTATTATTATTATTAAATCTTAGTGAGATTCACAGCCTTTGAGGCTGGTTAATAGCTCAGAAGCTCGAGTCCTAACCAAGGACCTAGGAACTGTTAAGGTATCGTCGGAGGATGTAAGCTGTTCCGAGTAAGGTGGTTTTTTGTAGAGTCAAAATGTTCAAGTCCGGTAAATTTAGAATTTCTAAATAGCGGGGTAGCCCTTTGGGTATTGCTCCAAGGGCTCCAATTACAATCGGGACAACACACGATTTCTTTTTCCACAGTCGCTCAACTTTAATTTGCAAATCCCGGTACTTTGTGATTTTTTCTTGCTGCTTATCTTCAATCTGTGCATCACCAGGTATTGCAATGTCAATGAACCATACTTTTTTTCTTCAACTATTGTTGTGTCAGGTGTGTTGTGGACCAAGTGCCTGTCAGTCTGAATCCTAAAGTCCCACAAGATCTTGAGTTTCTCATTCTCTAAAACTTTCTCAACCTGATGTTCCCAGTGTTTTTGCTGTACTCAAATCCAAACTTCTGGCACAATTTCCAGTGAATGATTTTAGCAACACGGTCATGGCGTTGTAGGTAGTCAGTTTGTGAAATTTTGCTGCACCCACTGATCAGGTGGTCGACTGTCTCATCTTTCTCATTGCAGAGGCGGCATTTGCTGTTGGTGGTAACATGTTGAATTTTTGCCTTCATGCAGTTTATTATTTTATTATTATTATTATTATTATTATTATTATTATTATTACTATCCGTTCTTGACAAAGAAATAAATAAAAATAAATAAATAAAAATAAAATATAAACCTTTCTTCCTATCCCAGAAGCTAACTTAACTTCTTTCTCTCTCTCTCTCTCTCTCTCTCTCTCTCTCTCTCTCTCTCTCTCTCTCTCTCTCTGCTGCCTTGCAGATCACCTTCATCTTGCTCAGCCAAGATCACGGAGACGACCTGGTGACCTCTCTCCAGCCGGATCCTACCTCCGTCTCCTTTCAGAAGCCAGAGACTGACCTGAACGAGGCCAGTGGCTTCTCCAGATTCGTTCCTCTGGTCAAGTTACAGTCCCCGAAATACACTTATTTGAAAGAAGGCACCTTGTTCCTGAAATGCATCGTGGAAACCAGTTCGTGAAACCTGCCTCGCCTTTCCTCGGTGAGGGCATATTGAAAGGCTGTGAGAAGCACTGAAAATATTTCAGGGGATGGCTGATAGGGCTTTGCAATACGGTTGAATCTGGCTCTGCAAAAGAGCTGCTCCAGCCCTCCAATAATAGCATTTGAGTCTTCTTCTTCTTCTTTTTTTATATATATATTCAAGGTTTTTTTTAAATTTATATATAAGTATTTTGAATACAGTGTATTGTCCGGGCATACCATTTTACAAAAAAAGAAAGAAAAAAATAACACATATACTAATAGTAATAAGAATAATAGCAATAGCAACAGCACTTAGACTTATATACCGCTTTACAGTGCTTTACAGCCCTCTCTAAGCAATTTACAGAGTCAGCCTATTGCCGGCAACAAACTGGGTCCTCATTTTATCCACTTCGGAAGGATGGAAGTTAACCTTAGGGTGGTCAGGATCGAACTCCTGGCAGTGAGCAGAATCAGCCGGCAATACTGCATTCTAACCACTGCATCACCATGGAAAGAAAAGGAAGGAAGGAAGGAAGGAAGGAAGGAAGGAAGGAAGGAAGGAAGGGAAGGAAGGAAGGAAGGAAGGAAGGAAGGAAGGAAGGAAGGAAGGAAGGAAGGAAGGAAGGAAGGAAAGGGCTAGCAATAGCACTTATATATCGCTTCACAATGCTTTCCAGCCCTAAGCGGTTTACAGAGTCAACCTCTTGTCCCCAACAATCTGGGTCCTCATTTTATTTATTATTTATTTTATTTTATTCAATTTATATCCCGCCCTTCTCCTAGTGGACTCAGGGTGGTGCACAGCCAGAACTAAAACGCATACCAATACAAAATTTAAAATTATTAAAAAATTATATAACTGTGGCCCAAAATTTAAAACATTGAAACTAATAAAACTAACTAACATTTTATCCACTTCAGAAGGATGGAAGGCTGAGTCAACCTTGAGCCTGGTGGGATTTGAACTGCCAAATTGCAGGCAGCTGGCAGGCAGCAGAAGGAGCCTGCAGTACCGCACTCTAACCACTGCGCCACCGAGGCTCTTAATACAACAAAATAATTCTAACCATATTTATAATTAAGGATTTGGGTCTTCAAAAGGGCTGATTTAACCCTGCAATGAAACTGGTTTGGCTCCACAAAAGGACTGATGGAGCCCCACAGTTGAAAACTGAGTTGGCTCCACCCTGGAGCTGAGTTGTGTGTGTGCCGTTTTCTTGTCTCCAACTCCGTTCCTTGTCTAGTCCAAGTCCACAGTGACGGGACATTCATCTCTTGTGTCGTGTTTAAAAGCTGTTTTCCTTTCTTTTGCCAAAGCCTCAAACCGGCATGGTAAGGCGACAAGACAACATTTTGCCGAGTGCCAAATTTGGGGTGTGCAGCGTGTGAGAAATATCACATTTACATTTTTTGTTTGTTGTTTTCTTTTGGTCCGGAGTGCAACGTTCACGTCGTTAATTTTTTTTTTAAAAAAAAATGAATGGACTGAAAATGGTAGCAAAGCCGAAGTCCTAACTGTGTACGGTGTTTAGTTTATTGAACTGACAGATTAAACGTGCATCTGAAGAACCAATTTCAGAGCTTCCTTTAAAAATACGCAGCTCGGATGGAACGTATTGTATCATGCCCATGCCCTCCCTTCTCTCCCCTCTCCTTCCTTCCTTCCTTTTTTCCTTCCTTCCTGTCTTCCTTCTTTCCTTCCTTCCTTTCTTCTTTCCTTCCTTCCTGTCTTCCTTCTTTCCTTCTTCCTTCTTTCCTTCCTTTCTTCCTTCCTGTCTTCCTTCTTTCCTTTTCTTCCTTTCTTCCTTCCTTCTTTCCTTCCTTCCTTCTTTCCTTCCTTCTTTCCTTCCTTCCTGTCTTCCTTCCTTCTTTCCTTCCTTCCTTCTTTCCTTCCTTTCTTCCTTCCTTCTTTCCTTCCTTCCTTCTTTCCTTCCTTCCTGTCTTCCTTCCTCCCTCCCTTCCCTCTACTCCTGTCCCCTCCCCTTCCTCCTCCCCTTCCTTTTCCTTTCCTTGATTCCTTTCTTCCTTCTGTCTTTCTTTCCTTACTTGCCTCCCTCCTGCTTTGTCCCTTCCCTTCCCTTCCCTTCCCTTCCCTTCCCTTCATTCATCCATCCATCCATCCCACCGCTTTTCTCTCTCTTCTAAGTTCAAGAAATGCAACAGGCAATGCTTGTGATCAGGACCAGTAGTGGCATTCAAATCCCATCACTACCGGTTCCCTTGTGGGCGTGCGTGCACTTGCACATTCACAGAAGCTTCTGCGCAGGTGCAGAGATGTCCGGGTAGGTGGGCGGAGCCTCCTTCCGCCGTCACTACCAGTTCGCCCGAACCGGTAACAACCCGCCACTGATTAGGACAGATTTCTTTGCAAGTGAAATCATTTCTTGCCATTTGACCGCAAAATGACCCAGACGTTACTAAGGACTGCATAAAATGAGTCCAAGGACAGATTGTGGCTTTAAAGCTGCAGGTTGCTCACCTCTGGTGAAAATAATAACTAATATTCTGACGTGGTGTAGGGCTTCCCGCCTAAGCAGGGGGTTGGACTAGAAGACCTCCAAGGTCCCTTCCAACTCTTCTCTTCTCTTCTCTTCTCTTCTCTTCTCTTCTACTCTATTCTATTCTGCATTTTTATTCTATTCTATTCTGCATTCTCTTCTCTTCTCTCCTGTTCTCTATTCAGTATATTCTCTTCTTTCTCTATTCTATTCTATTCTATTCTATTCTATTCTATTCTATTCTATTCTATTCTATTCTTTTTATTCATTCTATTCTATTCTATTCTATTCTTTCTATTCTATTCTTTCTATTCTATTCTATTCTATTCTATTCTATTCTATTCTATTCTATTCTATTCTATTCTATTCTATTCTATTCTATTCCTTCCGTCAAAAGTAAGGCACTCCCTCCCAGGAGGCATGAAAACTTGTTGAGTTGGCCACCTGCCTCTGCAAAAGGCATTAAGAGGAGGAAGAGGGAGAAGGATAGGCAGTCACTGCATTTCTTTATAACTGTGTCACGGCTCACCATTGCTCCGTCATGACTCACAGCAAAGTTCATATCCTTGGAAAAAAAGCTGCCTGGAAAAAAAAAAAAAAAAGTGGTGAAAATATTTTTTTTTTTTGTCAGGGCCAGCAAGCAGAAGCTGTGCCCGGAAAGGCATGGCTCGCTTCTTGCTTTGGAACCGTTAAGTCCCAAAAACTCAACCTGGAATTTGCTGTAAATGTCATGAACTGGAAGAGATTGGATACATCTCTTCCTAGGGTCTCTCCTGTTTGGGGGGTGGGGGTTGGATTAGAAGACCTCTAAGGTCCCTTCTCCAACTCTTGTTATTCTGTGGATTGTCTCCACAGAAGTTGTGGGTGCAAAATCCTGGAGGTTTTGAAGAAGGCATTGGACAACCATTTGTATAAAGTCTTCAAATGTGGGCGAGAAGAGTCGTCAAATGGAACCAAATCACTTAAACCCGTTTTCTCACTTAACAACAACAATTCTGGGCTCAATTGCGATCGTAAATCGAGGTCCACCTCTATTATGTCTTCCTCGTTGCTGCCGGTTGCTATTTTCCTTACAAGTAAAAAAAAAAAAAAAAGCACTGGGAGAATTCCCACCCAAAAACCTAGATCCAAAGTTTGCACGATAGTCATTTTTCCAGGGGTGTCCAAGAACCCCGATTTCAAATGTCTGAACTGACTCCCAGGCTCAGTCAAACAATATGACGCCAATCTTGTGCAAAGCTGTGACACCAGATTTGGTCGGGAGCGAAATGTCGAGGGTGGGAGTTGACGCAGCCCACCCACCAGACAGTGGTCTGGGGTGGGATAATATGGAAGAAAACAATCAGAATAACAGTGTAGGAAGGGACCTTCAGAGGTCTGCTAGTCCAACCCTCTGCTCAACCATATAAAAATGGACCTTATCCCATTTCAGACAAATGGCTGTCCAGTCTCTTCTTAAAAACCACAACTTCTGAAGATAATCCACAGAATAACAGAGTTGGAGAAGGGACCTTGGAGGTTTTCTAGTCCAACCCCCTGTTGAAGCAGGAGACCATATAAAAATAGTTGTCAAATGTCTTCTTCAAAACTTCCATTGATTGAGCATTCCCAGCTTCTGGAGACCATCTACAGAATAACAATCCAATCCAGAACAACCCTCCAATCCAGAGTTGGAGAAGGGACCTCGGAGGTCTTCTAGTCCAACCCCCTGAATCAAGGCAGTCCTTAAACGAGTCACACGGTTGTTAAGCGAATCTGGTCCGTCCGTCCCCGTTGACTTTGCTTATCGGAAGGTCGCAAAAGGGGATGACGTGACCTGGGGAACACGGCCACCGTCATAACTATGAGTCGGTGGTCAGGCATCCTAACGTAAATCACTGGGATGCCGCAACGGTTATAAATATGAAAAAAAAAGCTTCATAAGTCACTTTTTTCAGTGCCAGGTTGTTGTTGTTTTTTTTTTGAATGGTCACTAAACGAAGTGTTGTAAGTCGAGGACTGCCTGTAACATTGACCCCGGATTCAAAGCAGCAGCCAAGGAGCTGAAATCCTCAACGGCCCAAGCAGGGAGGTGGCTCAGTGGCTAAGACGCTAAGCTTGACGATCAGAAAGGTCGGCAGTTCGGCGGTTCGAATCCCTAGTCCAGGTCTCCTGCCTGAGCAGGGGGTTGGACTAGATGACCTCCAAGGTCCCTTCCAACTTTACTGTTACGGTTACAGATCTTCCAAGCCAAACGAGGGCAAGAGCCGCTGAAACCATCCGCGGGCTCTCGATCCCCCAGCAACGGCTGTGCGTGTTCGTGTGACTCCGAGGTATACTGCCCCTGGCTATGGAGGCTCCACCCCGCTTCGCCGCGCGGGAAAGCCCGGGTCCTGAAAGCTGGCGTCCTTGGGGCGGAGGAGGAGAAGGAGGAGGGAAAGGGCTCGGCTTCAACTGAGAAGGAGGAGCCGGAGGCGGCGCGATGGAAACCCGCCGCGCTAATTTGCAGGAGCCCCAACCGAAATAATTCGCGGGAAAAGAGAGAAAGAGAGAGAGAGAGAGAGAAAGTAGCGTTGAAAAAAAAAAAAAGAAGAAGAAAGAAAGGAGGAGGGGTAAAGATGGCGCTCCGTGGCTTCCAGGGTGCTTCCAGACAACCTCGGCCACCCCAGGGCGCACGGAGAGTTTTCTGAACTTGGAGATGCGCTCGGGACACCCCGCTCGTTGGCGCAGAGGAGAGCCAAGAGCCCCTTAACTTCTAAGCTTTCCTCTCCTCTCGGGACGTTTCCTTCTCCCCTGGCCATGGAGCCCGGCTGGGAGCCGACCTGGTAGGAGCCTCCTCCTTCCCCCACCCACGCACCCCAACGCAGCCTCGTCCGGATCCTCAAATAATAGGTAAGGGGGCGCAGGGGAGGAGGAGGAGGGGGGCGCCCCGAGATGACAAGCGCAAACTTTCTTTCTTTCTTTCTTTTTTGCAGCGCGCGCGCCAGCCGGGTTGGTGCCAGGGTTGTTGGGAGGTGGAGGAATGGATGGCAGAGTCCGTGTGTGTGTGTGTGTGTGTGTGTGAGTGAGAGAGAGAGAGATGGGGGGAGAAATGAAAGACAGAGAGAGAGAGAGAGAAAGAGAGAGAGAAAGAGAGAGAGAGAGAGAGAGATGGGAGGAGAAATGAAAGAGAGAGAGAGAGATGGGGAGAAATGAGAGAGAGAGAGATGGGGGAGAGATGAAAGAGAAAGAGAGGGGGGAGAGAATGAGCAAATGAGAGAGACAGATGGAGAGAGAAAGAAGGAGACAGAGAGAACGAGAGACAGATTGAGAGAAAGAGAGGGGGGGAAGAGAGAGACAGAAGGAGAGAGAAACGGAGAGGAAGGGAGGGAGGGAGAGAGAGAGAATGAGAGATTAAGAGGGAGGCGATTAAGAAAGAGAGAGAATGAGAAAATGAGAGGAGAAAATTGAGAGAAAGAGGGGGGAGAGAGAGAGAAAATGAGGGAGGGGAGGGAGAGAGGGAGAGAGAGAGAAATGAGAGATAAAAGAGGGAGAAAGAAGCGGATTCAGAGGGAGAGAATGAGAAAATGAGAGGGAGAAGATTGAGAGAAAGAGAGGGGGAATGAGGGAATGAGAGAGAAAGGGAGATGAAGGGAGGGAGGGAGAGAGAATGAGAGATTAAGAGGGAGAGCGATTAAGAAAGAGAGAGCATGAGAAAATGAGAGAAAGGGATTGAGAGGGAGAAAATTGAGAGAAAGAAAGAGAGAGAAGGAGGGGAAAAAACCGAATCTGGAGGCTTTCCTTTGGGCAGGCTGGCCCGGGACTGTCAACTAGATTGGAGCTGACTTGAGGGGGCTGCCCTAGGGTCCCCTTACCCTAGCCAGAACTCCTCCCCGTCCCTCCGCTCACCCTCTTGGCCCAACCCAGCGCTGTCCGCCGCCCGTTCCCACAGCACTCCTGGGCGCGCCAGCTTCAGGCTTTGCACCAGCCTCTCCGAGGCTTCCCTCGCTGCAACCGGTCTCCTCCTCCGGCTGGGCGAGAACCGGCCGTGGACACCGAGGGAGAACCAGAGGGTGGTGTGGGGTGGTGCATCACCCTCCTTTCTTGGTGGCAAGGCTGCGCGACCTCCCTGCTGTGCAGCCGGGGGTCCCATCCAGCAAAGGTGGGTAGAAACGGCCCAACAGGTCTCTCTACGGAGGGGAGGGGGTCAGGGCGAGGGGGGGGGAGATCTTTATTACTGGCAAGGGGCACCCCTCCCAAGGGGCACCCCTCCCTCCCTCCCTCCCTCCCTTTTTTGCAAATGCAGCAGAGAGCCGGGCTTCCCCTGCTTCTAACTGAAAGGGAGGGCAACTCTTAGTAACCCCAATGGCTCGATCCGCAACTTCCTTTCTCGATCGCAGAAGCACTCGCCGTTCTTCCCTGGGTGGGTAATTTTATCGACCGCATCCTTTCTCTCTTGGTTCTCTTTCTTCCCCACCCCGGAAAAGTTTTGACGTTGGAGACCCAACCGAGCCATGAAAAGCTAGTTAGCTAGCTAGCTAGATACGATAGAGAGTGATAGATCCGATAGAGATTGATAGATAATGATAGAGATAGATTGATTGATTGATAGACAGATGGATAGATAGATATGATGTAGAAAGATAGAGAGATAGAGACACACACAGATAGATATGAGATAGACAGACAGACTAGATATGATGTAGAAAGAGAGACAGATAGATCTGAGAGATAGATAGATATGATAGAGATTGATAGACTGATAGATAATGATAGAGATAGATTGATAGACAGATGGATAGATAGACATAATGTAGAAAGATAGAGACACATAGATAGATATGAGATAGACAGACAGACAGACAGACAGACTGACCAGATATGATGTAGAGAGACACATAGATAGATATGAAAGATAGACACATAGATAGATATGATAGAGATAGATAGATAGCTATGATAGAGATAGATAGATTGATAGATAATGATAGAGATTGATAAACAGATGGATAGATAGATATGATGTAGAAAGATAGAGAGATAAAGATAGACACATAGATATGAGATAGATAGACAGACAGACTAGATATGATGTAGAAAGAAAGACGAATAGATATGAGAGATAGATAGATAGATAGATGATAAAGATATGATAGATAGATGAGATATGCTAGAGATAGATAAATAGACATGATAGAGAGATAAATAGATAGATATTCAAGTTTGTACTTTTTAAAAAAATATCTTTTGAATCGGCCAATGAGAGCATGCCAAAGAGAGAAATGGCTCTTAGTCATGCTGGGAGCTTTGCAAAATTAAAAAAACAAAACAAAACTGGGGGGTGGGGAGAATTTCCTTCCGCCCCCCCTCAAAAGGAGAGTTGAAATTATTCCAGAAGGTGGTCCTGACAAACTTACAAAGAGAGGAGATGAGTAGACAGAGGAGTAGTTTGGGAGCAGGTAGCCAGATCTCTTCCTTCCCCAGGAAAAAATGAGTGACAAGCTTACAATTGGGGTGGGGCTTCCCTGGTTAGATGCATTTTTTAAATATCTGCTTCATAAGCTGGGTTGATTATTTATCTCCAGCCAAGATGCTAGAAATGCAACTGATGTATGTCTTATTTAATTATTAAGTTTGTTTCAGCACTCATAATCCACCTCTTTATTTAAGTTTAATTTCTGTGCATTGCTCAGTAAGTGTTGTTGTTAGGTTGATAATGTTAGTGAAAATCCGTTTGGAGAAAACTCTGCTTTATCAGAAGCTCACACCCACCTTCTTTCAAGTGGAGACAATTCCAGGAGAAATTTTTTTGCAGAATTGGGAGTTTGTTTTGTTATTTTTGGGAAATCTATGTTGATGTAATCCACTACTATGCAACTTCTGGAAATGCAACATTCTTTGCCAAACACTTCTAGGAAAAAGCATTCAGAGCAGATAGCTGCTTTTTTAAAAAAAATATTCTTTCTCAGTGTTGCATTTGCATAATCGTGAGTTTTCTGAAAAGCAAAAACGGATGAATTCCAGGCCTCATTCTTGGAAAACCAAAGGCACTTTTTGAAATTTGGAATGCTTAACTAAGGATTCTGGGAAGTGAAGTTCAAACATGCTAGGAGGCCCCAGAATGGGAAAAATGACTAATTTTATTCTCTAAGTAAGAGTGTCTCACTTTAAGGCAGGGATCAACCTATTTTAATAGGATAGATAGATAGATAGATAGATAGATAGATAGATAGATAGATGATAGATAGATAGATAGATAGATAGATAGATAGATAGATAGATAGATGTAGGTAGGTAGGTAGATAGAATAGAGATTGATAGATATGATAGAGATTGATAGATAGTTATGATAGAGAGAGATAGAGAGAGAGATAGGATAGAGATTGATAGATAGATATGATAGATGATAGACAGACAGACAGAAAGAAAGAAAGATAGATAGAGATAGGATAGAGATTGATAGATTGATAATTATGATAGGTAGGTAGGGAGGTAGGGAGAGAGAGCTTGATAAATAGAGAGATATAGGATAGATATGGATAGATAGATAGATAGAAATAGAGATTGATAGATATAATAGAGATTGATAGATAGTTATGATAGATAGAGAGGAGAAAGAGATAGGATAGAGATTGATAGATATGATAGATGATAGACAGACAGACAGAAAGAAAGATAGATAGATAGAGATAGGATAGAGATTGATAGATTGATAGTTATGATAGAGAGATAGAGATAGATAGATAGATAGATAGATAGATAGATAGATAGATAGATAGATAGATAGATAGATAGAATTGAGATAGATATAGATAGATGAGAGAGAGAGAGTTTGGTTCGAGGCATTGCAGTACAGGTAGTTCTCAATTTATAACAGTTTATTTAGTGACTGTTCGAAATGATGACAAGGGCACTGAAAAAACTGGCTTATGACCATTTTCCACAATTATAATCCTTGTAGCATCCCCATGGTCATCTGATCAACATTCAGACACTTGGCCGCCGAACTCATATTTATGACGGTTGCAATGCCCACGATCCCTTTTGCGACCTTCTGACAAGCCAGGTCCATGGGCAAGCCAGATTTCGTGCTTATAAGCAGAATTTCACAACCACCTACTAACTGAACAGCTGCAGTGATTCACTTAACAGATGTGGCAAGAAAGGTGGTACAGTGGGACAACATTCACTTAAGGAATGTTTCACTTAGCGACGGAAAGTTCGGGCTAAACACAGATACTCTTCGACATAGACCCAGTAGCTCCCCAGCTCCCTGGTCGTTCTCATCCCCAGAAACTCTGCTTCCCTGAATTGTGCAATAACAGCTTAGGAAGTGACCTATGATGTTTTCCGTGACACAGCTGGTTGCGCAGACATTGGAATGCCACAATCTTTACATGGATCGGAAGCCGCCAAGAATGAGAGGCCAAAAATAGACCTTGGCAAAGGAGGCCCTGCTACTAACTTACTGAACATCTCCCTCCCTTGCTGTTTGGAGTAAAAGCACATGGAGTAGCGGGCGTTACGGGTTGAAATCCAGCCAGGTGTGGCTCTAGCTGCCGGGGGTATCCGTTTCCGACAGGCTGAGTAGAGTAGAGTAGAGTAGAGTAGAGTAGAATAGAATAGAATAGAATAGAATAGAATAGAATAGAATAGAATAGAATAATGAAGAATAGAATGGAATAGAATAGAATAGAATAGAATGGAATGGAATGGAATAGAATAGAGTAGAATAGAATAGAATAGAATAGAATAGAATAGAAGAATAGAATAGAATAGAATAGAATAGAATAGAATAGAATAGAATAGAATAATAGAATAGAATAGAATAGAATAGAATAGAATAATAATAGAATAGAATAGAATAGAATAGAATAGAATAATGAAGAATAGAATGGAATAGAAGAATAGAATAGAATAGAATAGAATAATAGAATAGAATAGAATAGAATAGAATAGAATAGAATAATAATAGAATAGAATAGAATAGAATAGAATAGAATAGAATAGAATAATGAAGAATAGAATGGAATAGAATAGAATAGAAGAATAGAATAGAATAAAATAGAATAGAATAATAATAGAATAGAATAGAATAATGAAGAATAGAATAGAATAGAATAGAATAATAATAGAATAGAATAGAATAATGAAGAATAGAATGGAATAGAATAGAAGAATAGAATAGAATAGAAGAATAGAATAGAACAGAATAATGAAGAATAGAATAGAATAGAATAATAATAGAATAGAATAGAATAATGAAGAATAGAATAGAATAATAATAGAATAGAATAGAATAATGAAGAATAGAATGGAATAGAATAGAATAGAAGAATAGAATAGAATAGAAGAATAGAATAGAACAGAATATTGAAGAATAGAATGGAATGGAATAGAATAGAATAGAAGAATAGAATAGAATAGAACAGAATAATGAAGAATAGAATGGAATAGAATAGAAGAATAGAATAGAATAGAATAGAATGGAATAGAATGGAATGGAATGGAATGGAATGGAATGGAATAGAATAGAATAGAATAGAATAGAATAGAATAGAATAGAATAGAATAGAATAACTTTTTTGGCACCGAGTGCTGAAACGGAAGCGTGCATGCAGAGGAGCACCAGAAACCAGAAGAGCGGCTCTCTGGTGCGCATGCACACCCAGGAAGCTAAGCTTCTGGTTTCTGGCGTGTGCCTGTGCGCCGGTCACCTGGTCTTCCAGTTTCTGGCATGCATGCACGCACATGTGCGCCAGGGAGCTGCTCTTCCGGTGTCCAGAGCTCCTGCATGCGCCATGACCAGCTGGCATGTGCACGCCGGAACCCCGAAGAGCAACAGGCAACGGCTGGCGTGCCCGGAGAGATGGCTCTGCGTGCTACTTCTGGCACGCATGCCATAGGTTTGCCATCACGGGAATAGAACCTTTATTGTCACATTAAATGTACGCTGAGCAGCACACATTCTAGTGAAATTTTGTTGCATTCAGCTCTCAAGAGATAATCATTGTATATATACATGATACAAGAGAAACATCCCTGTCTTGTTTGAATGTATACATATACACGGCAGGAAAAAAAACAAAATCCTGTGAGTTTACAAGGCGGATAGCATAAGGATCAAAGCCGTTACAGAATCTAGCAGTCCTGCTATAGATACTTCGAAACCTCCTCCCTGAGGGGAGCAACAGAAACAGGCCATGAAATGGGTTTGTGGGGTCTCTCACAATGCTTCGAGCTCTAAGCACACAGCGCTTATAAGCGGCATCCTGAATAATGGGAAGCGAGCTTCCTATAATCTTCTCCGCTGTCCTCACCACTCTCTGTAGGGACTTTCTATCTGAGGCACTGCGGCCGCCAAACCAAACAAGGATGTAGTTTGTTCAAACGCTCTCAATTGTGCCTCTGTTAAAAAAGTAACCAGGACAGAAGGGAGAAAGATGTGCTCTTCTCATCTGACGCAGGAAATGCACGCTTCACTAATGTATGAAGAGAATCAAGTCAGATTGTTAGTGACCTGCACCCCCATCTACTTAATGCTACTGACCACCTCCGCAGCTGCAGCCTTGATACAAAGTGGAGTCTGACTATGCCGGCTCTTTCTAAAATCAACAATCATCTCCTTTGTTTTATTAACATTCAAAACCAGATGCAGAGTTTCCAGTTGTACAAATGACCTTACAGGAATTGCACAATGCAGCCGAGAGCGAATGGCTTCCTGACTTTTTTGCAAATCGGTTGCCTTAGAACCTTCCTGGGTCCACGTACAAGTTTTCCACCATCTTTAATGTCACTCAAAACTCGAGGCTGTGCAGTGCTTCAGTTCGGTCCTGATCACCTAAAGATGCTTGATCTTAAAACCTGGAGATTGCACGGCAGCCCTGAGTTTAATTTAATTCACCGCTCCAAAATCTGCCTGCTCCAAATGTTGATTTTTTTGGGGGATGTCTTAAAACCGCAACTTCGGAGCCGCGGGTGAGAACAGATCGAAAACGTGAACTCGGTGTGAGAGTGTATGGGGTCCTTGGGTTAATCGTAGCCAGAGGTGGTATTCAGCCGGTTCGTACCAATTCGAGCGAACCGGTAGCGGGGAGTGCGGGTGGCCCCACTCCCGCCCACCTGCCCGGACTTAATACCGTCCTATTTAGCCACGTTTTCAAGACTGGGGACCTGCACGGAAGGTGCGCATGCGAGCAAAGCACATGCACGGAAGGCTAGGCGCATGTGTGGATGGCGTGCACTTGTGGGGGGCGAATCGGTGGTAAGAATATTGGAAACCCACCGCTGACTGTAGCTATGCGTTTTTTAGAAATAATGCTCTTTTCTCTCTCTCTCTCTCTCTCTCTCTCTCTTTGTAGCCCAGGAACATGGGGACTCCTGACCCTGGGCGCACTTATGCAGCCCTCGGACACCTGCAACAATCGATGGTGGATTGGGTGGCCAGAACTCAGGACAGTCGGCGAGAGCTGATGGCTAAATTGCCCGAAGGACAATATGTCTTATGCCGCTGGACTGATGGACTTTATTATCTTGGGAAGATTAAGAGAGTAAATAACATTTTCTCTCTCTTCTTTCTTTCTTTCTTTCTTTCTTTCTTTCTTTCTTTCTTTCTTTCCTTCCTTCCTTCCTTCCTTCCTTTCTTTCTTTCTTTCTTTCTTTCTTTTATTTTGTATGGAAAAATATTTTAATGATTTTTTTAAGTCTATAAGTAATCTTGTTTCCATCTCACATTTGCTAAGAGAGTTTAAATATGGGAAGGAGCATACTGCTTCCCTTTCGCCTTTCAGCTCCAATCTAAGAGCCCTCAAGCAGTCGCATTCATGACAAACCATTTTATACCAAATTTATATTGGTATATTTATTTATTAGTTCAATTAGTTCAATATTTATATTTATATTCGAATCCGAGTAAGAGCATGGCTAGCTGATGAGAGCTAAATAGCTTGAAATAGATCTATACTAGTCTCCCTTTATTTCTTTATCAGCAATATGTATGTATGTATGTATGTATGTATGTATGTATGTATGTATGTATATAATTTATACATTTTTCTTTAATAAACATAAAAAACTCAATGTTTACATGAAGAGTGCGTTGTCTGGGTACAGAGTTTTGGGAAATAATAATAGAAATAATAACAATAATCATATTAATCATATAATAATAATAATTGCTTATCCATATTAATATACCTTTTAATTAATGCACCTTTTAAGTTTCTAAACCCTGTTTCTGTCATCTAACCATTGATAAAACGAATCCCATGTTAAAAAAAATATTCTGTTTCTTCCTTCTCCTTTATTTTAAGTGTTAATCTATCCATTTCTGCGCATTCTAATATTTTTTTAAAAATTACGTTTTCATCTATCTATTTTCATTCATCTATCTCTTCATTTTTCCACTGTTTGTGCAAAGACAATTCTCCTTGCTGTTTTTCTTTTTCCCTTTCGTATCTTCCTGCCTTCCCCAAGCTTATTCTATTATTATTATTATTATTATTATTATTATTATTATTATTATTATTATTCTAATTTATTTATTCTTGCAACTCCTTTTTCGGGTGCAAATAGCAATCGCTCGGTACTCTCAAAAGCCGGAGAAGGAGCAAAAGGAATAATGAAAAACTTTGGGGTTCACAGAGCATGTTAAGTTAGCCCATGTGGGGTGGAGGGTCCACTGCTTTAGGGAGTTGGGGGGAGCCCTACCTTCATTTTTGCAATCTGAGTCATGAACGAAGACCCCAGTTTGCAAAATTGGAGCAATCCAGGACAAAGCTTGGATTATGCCACCTTTGCAACCTGAGCTCTGTGTTCTGCATTTTTTTTTTTATTCTGCCTTTACAGGTGAGTGAAGCTAAGCAAAGTTGCCTGGTGACCTTTGAAGATAATTCGAAATATTGGGTGCTATGGAAGGACATCCAGCATGGTGCGTGAACATTCCCGGCCTCTTGTCTTTGGGGGACTTCTCAACATTTTCAGATGTTGAATGCGGATGGGGGAGGAGATGAATAAGGACTAGAATCTTGCTGTTCTGACCTAGGCTTCTTTAGAAACTATACAGCACAATCTTAATACGGCTGTGAATTATTGTCATTCCCAGTCCGAAAGGCTTCTCAAACAGTCTTTCAGGGGAGTGTTTACAAACACCCACCTTATCTCCCTTGGAATGCTGCCAGAGAACGAATTGCCACACGCAGGGCAAGGCCAAACTTAGCACAGAGTCAAACAGAGCTTTTACCGACCAGATGAACTAATTGCTTCCTGCAAAAGCTCACATTCTTTCACTTCTCTTTTACGTCTTATGGGAGGGGCCAATCATCTCCAAGCCTTACTCCCAAGTCGACCCTGTTTCCTTAATTGCGCCTCTGTTTATACAACTCAGGATGGTATTAGCTTTTTTGGGGGGTTACAATTCTAAACCTGGATTGGGGTTACCAGATCTCTTCCTCCCCCCACCTTCCTGCTTTCTAGCTGGTGTCCCCAGTGAACAGCCTGAATGTAACATCTGCTTGGAGAAGACATCGGAACCTCTGAATGAGATCTTGATCTGTGGGAAATGTGGAGTTGGTGAGCACGTTCTCCAGATCTTCCTCCTACCTGGTTTTGGGTGGGTCTGGATCTGTGGCGAAATCCAATTTTTTTTACTACCAGTTCTGTGGGTGTGGCTTGGTGGGCATGGTAGGGAAAGGATACTGCAAAATCCCCATTCCCTCCCCACTCCTGGGGGAAGGATATTGCAAAATCTCCATTCCCATCCCACTCTGGGGCCAGCCAGAGGTGGTATTGGCCGGTTCTCCGAACTACTTAAAATTTCCACTACCGGTTCTCCAGAACCTGTCAGAACCTGCAGGATTTCACCCCTGTTCTGGATCATCCCTACTATTGTTTCTCTGCTGAGGGCGAGGAACGGATGTACCCTCTTGGGTGTAGCGGTGTAGCGTAAAGGTTTAAAATTCAAGTCATTTCTATCTTGAGTTCAAAATACCTCTCTGACACTTTATTTTTTTAAACAATTTTTTAATTTTATTTTAATACAAACACTTCATCTTTTATTAAACAGTGTGTCATCTGGGTACAAATATTTTGTGCAATAGCAATTAAAATTTACAGCTATATTTAATATTTTATGTATTCTAAAACTTAATACTATTCCTAACATACCTACTATTATAACAATTGTCATCTTAGTTTATTTAACTTTATTAAAACATTTTCCATATTTCACTTCTCTGCTTTTCTTCCTAATTTTCATATTTGTTCTCTAACCATTGATAGAATAACTAACCATACGCTATAATAATCAGAACCTTCCTTTTCTTGAACTGCAAGTGTTAAATCTATTCATTTCTGCACATTCTAATTATCTTCTTAATAACATTCTCATCCCTAGGGATCTTGTCACTTTTCCAATTTTGTGCAAATACAATTCTAGCTGCAGTTATTACATGAAGAATCAGATATACATTTTTCTTTACTATAAATTTCTGGTAAAATCCCCAACAAGCATAATTCAGGTTTAAAATCAATATGTTGTATCATTTCCTCCAACCAAATACAAATTTTTGTCCAGTATTTCTTAACTTCTACACATGTCCACCACATATGATAGTATGACAGGGTTATATGATAATGTTGTGGATGCTCCTGCATTTAAGCTTCCGTATTGCTTTAAAACTTTCCGTTTCCCCCTTCTCCTCCTTCTCAGGGTACCACCAACAGTGCCACATTCCACTGGTGGAGAGCCTGGAAGACTCTTTGGGGACTCCCTGGTTTTGTCGGAGATGTATCTTCGTACTAGCCGTGCGGGTGAGTGGCATACAAGAGTTTTTCAGTGGCTCAGTGACTAAGAAGCTGAGCTTGCCGATCGAAAGGTCGGCAGTGCAGCGGTTCAAATCCCTAATGCCGCCTAACGGGGTGAGCTCCCGTGACTTGTCTCAGCTTCTGCCAACCTAGCAGTTCGAAAGCAGGTAAAAAATGCAGGTAGAAAAATAGGGACCCCCTTTAGTGGGAAGGTAACAGCGTTCCGTGCGCCTTTCGCATTTAGTCATGCCAGCCACACGACCACGGAGACGTCTTCGGACAGTGCTGGCTCTTCGGCTTTGAAACAGAGATGAGCACTGCCCCCTAGAGTCGGGAACGACTTGCCTCCAGAAGTTGTGAATGCTCCAACACTGGGAGTTTTTAAGAAGAGGTTGGACAACCATTTGTCTGAAGTGGTGTAGAGTTTCCTGCCTAAGCAGGGGGTTGGACTAGAAGACCTCCAAGGTCCCTTCCAACTCTGTTATTCTATTCTATTCTATTCTATTCTATTCTATTCTATTCTATTCTATTCTATTCTATTCTATTCTTCCGTCAAAAGTAAGGCACTCCTTCCCAGGGGGAATAAAACTTGTTGAGTTGGCCACCTGCCTCTGGGAAAGACATTAAGAGGAGGAAGAGGGAGAAGGATATTATATATTATAAAAGAAGAGGAACGATTGACTTGAGAACGCGTAGAAAATGCTCGTTTCTTGTTCCTTCTCCAGAAAGGCGGGGCCTTGAGGAAAGGAGCCATCGCTCGGACTCTGCAGACGGTTAAAATGGTCCTGTGTTATAATCCGGAAGAGCTGGAATGGGATTCCCTCCACAGAACGAATCACCAGCAGTGTTACTGCTATTGTGGTGGTCCCGGAGAGTACGTTCGATTGAGGGCGATGTTGGGGGGAATCACTGAAGGGTTCGAGAGGGTGAAGAGTGATCTTGGGCAGCTGGAGGGGACGGTTTTCGGCGTCCCCGAGGGATGCAGATATTTCCATTTTCTGAAACGTGGCCCTGAGCTTTGCAAGCTGGCTTTGAAATTCACTTCGGTGGGTGCAAACGATTCCATGTTTTTCCAACGTGGCTGTGAGCTCCGGCAGCTGGAGGATGGTCGCTGTCCGAGGCAGTCGCTAAACGAGGACTACCTGTGTTAGAGGACGATACCGATAAAGAATGTCTTCCTGTTCCTTCTCAGGTGGTACCTGAAGATGTTGCAGTGCCTTCAATGCCGTCAGTGGTTTCACGAAGCTTGTATGCAGTGCCTGAACCATCCCATGCTTTTTGGAGATCGGTAGGTGCGGCCGGAGTCCGGAGGAAAGGTTTTGTAGTCCAACCCAGCGGTGAAATTCAGCAGGTTCTGACAGGTTCTGGAGAACCGGTAGCGGAAATTTTGAGTAGCTCAGAGAACCAGCAAATACCACCTCTAGCTGGCCCCAGAATGGGGTGGGAATGGAAATTTTGCAGTATCCTTTCCCCAGGAGTGGGGTGAGAATGGGGATTTTGCAGTATCCTTTCCCCAGGAGTGGGATGGGAATGGAGATTTTGCAATATCCTCCCCCCAGGAGTGGGGTGGGAATGGAGATTTTGCGGTATCGTTCCCCTGGCGTGGGGTGGGAATGGGAATGGGGTGGAGTGGGGTGGGGTGGAGAGCTGCCAGTCCGATATCTTCAAAACTTGGCAAGGAGTCACGAACCAATTAAGCGAACTAATTGACTCCTGCAAACTCCACTCCCCTTTCGCTCCTCTTTATTCCCTATGGGAGGGGCCATTCATCGTCCACCTGTGGCTTTACTCCTGAGTCGACCCTTGTTCCTTAGCTGTTCCCTTCATCTGGTAGCTCTGCGTATGTGCACACTGGGAACAGGATCCAGCTGCTCTTCTGCCCCACTGATGTCTGACTCCAAAAGCAGCTGACAACTGTCAGACGGTCCTGGCCCCCTCTCTGCCTCTGATGCAGAGCCCTCGTCAGAGTCTTCCCCAGACTCCAGGACTGGCCCATGTTCCTCCCCAACCTCCTCACTGTCTGAGTCTGCTGACAGCTGGCCGCTGGTGGGAAGGGTTTTGTAGTCCAATCCCTACCGAAGGCAGCAGCTGGGGCGGCAAGCCTGATATACAGTTCTTGCATCCATCTAAAAATCAATTAACCGGAGCCTGTTCTCTCTTTTTCTCTCTCGCGTCTTTCAGATTTTATATTTTCTACTGCACGGTGTGTAATCAGGGACCGGAGTATCTCAAACGTTTACCTTTGAGATGGTAAGATCTGCTTCCCCCCCCACTCCCAAATAAAAGGAATTTACGTATCTTATTGCACCAGGTACCACTTAGCCCTTACTTAGGGTAAAAAAGGGGGAATTACCAAAACACATTATACCATAGAGAGCTTCTTCCATTCTCATCCTGGCACCGCTGAGTTTTCAAAGTTTGGTTTCTAGATTCCGGCTTCTGTATTACAAAGAGCCTCAGCCACAAAGTTAGGGATGGGGTGATGTTCTTGGGGGGTTTTTTTTAAGCATCGTTTTAAAATGTATATATGCTGGAAAAGGAAATATAGGCTTTCACGCGTGCCTTAAATTGAGCAATTGAGAGTCGAAGAGATTAGGACGATCGGGTGATATTAGGAACCCGGATTTTCTGTTCAAAGTTTTTTTTTAACTGTACAGATCTTCATGAATTGTATGGTTTGTAATGTTTGTTATTGGGAAGAGGAAGGAAAGGAGGCGGGAAGAGAGATATGGGAGGAGGAAGAGGAGGAGAAAGAAGAGAAATAGGAGGAGAGAAGGAGGAGGGATGATAGAATAGAATAGAATAGAATAGAATAGAATAGAATAGAATAGAATAGAATAGAATAGAATAGCAGAGTTGGAAGGGACCTTGGAGGTCTTCTAGTCCAACCCCTTGCTTAGGTAGGAAACTCTACACCACTTCCGACGAATTGTTATCCAACATCTTAAAAACTTCCTGTGTTGGAGCATTCACAACTTCTGGAGGCAAGTTGTTTCCCCTGATTAATTGTTCTCACTGTCAGGAAATTTCTCCTTAGTTCTAAGTTGCTTCTCTCCTTGATTAGTTTCCATCCATTGTTTCTTGTTCAACTCTCAGGTGCTTTGGAGAATAGCTTGACTCCCTCTTCTTTGTGGCATCCCCTGAGATATTGGAAGACTGCTATCTTGTCTCCCCTAGTCCTTCTTTTCATTAAACTAGACATACCCAGTTCCTGCAACCGTTCATCGTATGTTTTAGCCTCCAGTCCCCTAATCATCGTGGTTGCTCTTCTCTGCACTCTTTCTAGAGTCTCCACATCTTTTTTACATTGTGGGATCAGGGATATGGGAGGAGGAAGAAGAGAACTGGGAAAACGAGGAGGAAGAGAAATAGGAGGAGGAGGAGGAGGGATGAAATATGAGAGATATGAGAGGAGGAGGAGGAGGAAGAAGAGAAATAGAAGGAGGAGGGATGAGAGGTATAGGAGGAGGAGAAGGAAGAAAAATAGGAGGAAGAGGGTTGAGAAATGACAGATCTAGGAGAAGATATGGGGGGAGGAGGAGGAGGAAGAAGAAGAAGAGAAATTGCAGGAGGGGCGGAGGAGGAGGAGATTTTTATGGAGGTATATAAAACTAATCAAAGAAAGAATTGGCCATCAGGAAATGCTATCCCTATTCCTTCACCTTATGCTATAAACATTGCCACCTCCTTCCTGCAATCATTTCCTTCAACAGGAAGGTCATTGTCTCCTTTGTTTCTTGAACACACAGGGTCGATGTCGTGCACCTTGCCATCTACAACCTGGGCGTGCAAAGTAAGAAGAAATATTTCGACTTTGAGGAAATCTTAGCCTTTGTCAATCACCGCTGGGACCATTTTCAGCTTGGCAAGGTACGCGGGGCCAGCCTCAAATCCTTCTCTTTATAATTTGCTTCCCATTGAACACGAGCTAACTTCCTCTGGAGCTGTTCTTATAAAATGGGTTCTCTATCGCTAATTGAAAGATATTTAGATGCTTTATGCTTGGAAGTAGGGCAGGAATATGACAAAAGGTGGATTCTCTAGTCTCAGCTTGGTATCAAATCTGTGATCTTGAGGTGTGCAAAGATAAATTCTCCAAGTTGTTTCTTCTTCCCTGTCAGGGTAGTGATTTTTTTTTTTTTTTAAATTTGATTTATATGCCGCCCTTCTCCGGAGACTCAGGGCGGCTTACAATGCGTTAAGCAATAGCCTTCATTCTTTTGTATATTTTATACAAAGTCAGCTTATTGCCCCCACAAACTGGGTCCTCATTTCACCTACCTTAGAAAGGATGGAAGGCTGAGTCAACCTTGAGCCTTGGAGAGATTCGAACCAGCAGAAATTGCAGGCAGCTGTGTTAATAACAGGGTGCACTAAACCCCTGTACTATCAAGGCTCTTATTTAAGATTTAAGAGCTAACCAGCTGCTACAATGATGCAATGATGAACTGATGGGAATGAGTCAGCATTTTTGGCTGTTATCCCTTTAAGAGCCTGTATAATAATAAGAGACCCTGTTAGGGCACATCTCTATCGCCGTGTGTTCTTCTTTGCTGTAATTTACTGATTGTTTGACTTCTGCCTATAGTACGTGTATGCCTAGTACATATTCTTTTGTAGATAAAAACCACTATTTCTTGCAAACCTCTGTTTGCTGTTATTGCTCCTGGGTTGTCTCACATAGTAAAGCTGCGTGCACTCTGACATTCCCTAAACCCCAAAACAAGGTCCCAGCAAAAAGCTGGGACAAGCGAGAATGGACCCACGAAATTCCACAGAAGTTTAGAGAAGGATGGTGGATGGTGGATTAGACACAGCTTTGACTTAGTCTTTCAAAGGTTGGCGCAAAAAGCTAATTTGGGGCTAATTTTGCCTTAAAATCTCTTCCCCAGTTGACTGCAACCCCTGTGGCAGAACGAGGTCCTCTCCTTCTAGATGCATTAAACAGTTACAAAAGCAGGTGAGCTTGAAATAATCTATTCTCCTAAGAGTTGTAAAGATCCAGCTGACTCGATTAGAAGAGGATATTGGTAGCTCGGGGTTGAGTTGTGGGGTCCTTGGTTCTCTCTGAGCTTGGTGGGGGTTTTTTGCAGACATTTCATTACCTTACTAAGTGACATCATCAGTGCTAGAAGGGAGTGGAGTTTGTGGAGAAGAGGAGGAGGAGGAATGTAGGGGTCCTTGGTGCTCTCTGAACTCAGCGATTTTCTTGCGGACGTTTCTTTTCTCGTTGAACCAAGATGCTGGATTTGTCTTGGTGGCTTTTCAGGTTTCTGTGCGGGAAGGAAATCAAGAAAAAGAAATGCATCTTCCGCCTCCGGGTTCGAGTTCCCCCAAATCCTCCCAGCAAGATGCTCCCGGATAAGTTTGCGGGACGGAGCGAGACAAAGAAAAGGGGGAAAGTCAAATCCTCCCACAAAAGCAGGTCTGTAGAAGTCAGCAGAGGCTCTTCGCTTGAGCTTTCGAGGTCTCCCTTTGGCGTTCGTGCCACCTGTCTGATTCCTGGTCTTTTCTTTATTTATTTTTTCCCTTTCCTCTCCAGTTTGCTGCCGCATCAATCCCAGCACGAACGGAGAAGGAAAAACCCCAAATTTCTCTTGGAGGATGCCATTCCAAGTGTCAGTTTGCTAAAATGATGGGCTCTGCGGTTGGGAACTGCCTTCAAATTCTACGTGGGGCTGTGAGAGGACTGGTGGGTTTTCTTGCAAATTATTCTCATTCTCCCTCTCTCTCCTTTTTCCTTTTTCCTTCCTGCCACAGAGTGATTTTGCCTCAGCTTGGAGCACCAACCATCACCTGGCCTGCATCTTTGATTTCTCGCTGGATGAAATCCAGAGTCTTAAAAGGTAACACTTTTTCTTGAAGACATTTCATTACCCAGCTAGGGAACATCATCAATGCTAGAAAGGGGTGGGATTTGGGAGGAGAAGGAGGAGGAGGAGGATGACGACAACAATTCTATCTGGACTGTGGGGTCCTTGGTGCTCTCTGAGCTTGTTTGTTTTCTTGAAGATGTTTCATTACCCAGCTAGGGAACATCATCAATGCTAGAAAGGGTGGAGTTTGGGAAGAGGAGGAGGAGAAGAAGAAGAAGAAAAATGGAGGAAAAGAGGAGGAAAAGGAGGAGGACTGTGGGGTCCTTGGTGCTCTCTGAGTGTTTGTTCTCTTGAAGACGTCTCCTTACCCAGCTAGGGAACATCATCAATGCTAGAAGAGGGTGGGATTTGGGAGGAGAAGGAGGAGGAGGAGGATGACGACAACAATTCTATCTGGACTGTGGGGTCCTTGGTGCTCTCTGAGCTTGTTTGTTTTCTTGAAGATGTTTCATTACCCAGCTAGGGAACATCATCAATGCTAGAAAGGGGTGGGGTTTGGGAAGAGGAGGAGGAGGAGGAGAATTTTCCTGTCTGGACTGTGGAGTTTTTGGTGCTCTGAGCTTGGTTATTTTCTTGCAGACATTTCATTACTGTTCTTTCTCCCTCTTTTCTAGTGCAAGTTCGGGCCACGGCTTCCTCTCCGATGTAGACTCCACGGACGCTGCCAGCACGTCGGGCTCGGCCTCGACGAGTTTCTCCTTCGAGTCGAGGTCCTTTATAAATTGAAAAGGCTTCTCTTGTTAAAAAGCATTTCGGCCCCTGAAAGTTGTATCCCAGCTAGCCCTCCCAATTCAGACGAGTTTAAGTGAGATGCACCCGATGTCAGAGGTTGCATCTGACTCACAAAAAAATACCCTGCAGTTTTACGACATTGGGAGCAATAACTCTGATTGCCAAACAATCAGTTGACCTTACACCAGCAGCTCCCAACCTGTTGGGCGCCAGGGACCGGTTCCGTGGAGAAAGGTTTTTCCGTGGACCGGAGGGGGAGGTTTTGTGTGCTGCCTGCATCCCGCAGATGTGGCTTCGCTTCTTTGCATGGACCGGTTGCTGGCTGTTCCAACCCAGCCCCTCAAACACAACAAACCCTGATTCCTTTATTAGGAGCGCCAGCAGCCGCGGGAAAAAGTTTCTCTTTCACCTCAGGCTAACAAGTCTGTCCAGCCGGGAGATGAATAGTTATCAGCCATATCTATTCATCTCTGTCCACTGCCTTTTATCCCCAGAGCTAGGGTGGGGCTTCGCTAGCAGCAGTGGCTCTTCCGTCCCAAGGACCGGCCCATAGATTTCCACTGCTCTCCTCTCCTCTGCCTTCTGTGCATCCGTGCATCAGGCAGTAGACCCAACTGTTGCTCCTCTTCCTCATCAGCCACTTCCAGACCTGGGGGCTCTTGATGACCCTCCATCTGAGGGCTGATGGACAGCCCATGTTCCACCTCTCTCTCTCTCTCTCTCTCTCTGCCAGCTCCATTCCCTCTTCCTCCTCGGAGCTCTCAGGTTGCCTTGATGCTGGCCCTGACTCCCATGCCTCCTCCTCCTTATCTGATTTGGTTGCTGGAGCAGCTAGAGGCTGATAGGCCACAACATTGACATGCCACGGACCGGGGGTTGGGGACCCTTGCCTTACGCCTCATCCCTAAGAAACCCCTGTTTTCTTACCATCTTTTGGCAGGACAAACGTCGGAAGCCGGAAGCGCAAACTGTCCGCTAAAACCTACGCGCCGTTCGACGCCAAACCGAAATCCTCCGAGCGTCTCCGCAGGCTCGTCCCCGGCTGCTCCTTGGATGGCAGTGACCGTGCCAGCAGTCCGGATCGCCCAGGGAACGCCATCGACTGCCAGACTTTGGAGAGCTTGAGCGAAGACGATTTATCCCTCTCTCACCTCCAGTCATCCATCAGCAGCTATTTCGGAGCCACCGGCCGGTTAATCTGCGGAGAGAAATATCAAGTGTTGGCTCGGAGGATCAGCCCAGAAGGAAAAGTGGAATATCTCGTGGAGTGGGAGGGCAGCACCCCCTACTGAGGCGTGTCGGGGGCCCGCCATGTGAAGCCATAAGAGAGAAACAGGGTGGGGAATGCAATCAGGGAAAAACAGTTTGCCCTGAACTGCCTTGGGGATTATCTGTTCCAGACTAAATTTCCAACGGTCCCTGTTGTAAACCCTTTGGGTTGGGCTAGGAAAGATGGAAAGCGTGGCTTAGCGATCAGTGACTGTTTAACCTTAGCTCCGTGTGGCCGTTCGGGACAAAAGGGGGAGCGAATTCCCCGGGGCAGCCCCATAGAAATTACATCACTTGGACAAGATTGGCACCTATCTAACGTGGCACTTATATTGTCCCGTTGATAAAGGATAGCGAGAGATCACACGTCGATAGGATCCAGGAGGGGGTTGAATGGATAACCCTGCTTAGCAGGTGGGATGAGCAGAGAATTGTAAAACAGGCTGATTGGATGGCTGGTGGAGGAATGCCTATAAGGATAAAGCCAAAGGGTGGGGATTTAGGGACACCTCCAAGCTCCTGGGTGCGGCCCCCCACAATCCCTTCCTAAACTGGGTTGCAGTTTTAATGTGACGGAAGGGGGGGAAAGATTAGCAAATGCACTAAAGATGCACACACCTTGATTCTCTTCCACTTCATTGGAAGTGGACATCTGGCGGGTGAGCTTTCTACCCTGTCCGTTTTGGCTCGATGGTTTGCAATTTATTTTATTTTTTTGACTGCCGTGGATGAAAGCTGAAAATTCAGCTAGGATGGTCCGTTTATGACAAATGTCTCAACAGGAGGCGGTTCCCAGCCTAGAAAAAGCACAAAATTGGCTGTTGCGTTTTTACCTTGCCAAGATTCCCCTTTTTTTTCCATTTACAAGTGCCTCTCTCTCCACATATATATATGCTGTTATCCCCAGAGGAAAAGATTTGCAGAGCAATACTGAATCCTAATTGTATTTTCCTGCTCCTGTTTGCACAGTTTAACTTGAGGCCCCTGCAGACAAGAGAGGGCCTCTCAAAATATATATTCTAACCCCCCCCCCCCGAAGGATTTATTTGTATTTTAAAATATTATAATAATTATTTTTGCCTTGGTTTGGACTGATCTTGTAAACGCTTCTATGCACCTTCACAAGTCAGGGCCGCTGCTTTTTTTAATAAGTGGCCTTTTGTGTGTTCGTTCTTATTCAAATGGTAATGAATGTGTCAGAGGTACAATTATTAAAAAAAAAAAAAGAATATTGGTAACTTGGCCGTATCTTCATATTGCTAGCACTGCGTGAGAGGGTATACAGCAGCTGTTTGGAAGTTGAATGCTCGAGGGACGAGGGGAAGCTCTAAAAGAAGGGAAGGGAGCACCTGAGTTGGGACACAAATTGATAAATTCGGAGATTTTAAAAGAACCTGGATCTGAAGAAGTAAAGTGAAGGAGAGGCAGGTCACAATCACAGCGCTTGGAGGAAGGAAGAAAACGTAGTTGCACAGAATGAGAGAAAATGAAATTGGATGTGCGGAACAAAACATTTTAGCCTATCTGAATTCATATATATATATTGCCCCCAAACCCAGTGTGGATGGATATCCATGACTTCTTAAGATAATTCAGATATATATATTAGATATATTAGATATATATATCTGAATTATCTTAAGAAGTCATGGATATCCATCCACACTGGGTTTGGGGGCAATAGTATAGAAGATACAGAAGTGGTTTGCTATTGTTTTCTTCCTCCCTCCCTCCCTCCCTCTTCTAATGTATCTACCTACCTACCTACCGTATCTATCTACCCTATCTATCTATCTATCTATCTATCTATCTATCTACCTACCTACCTACCTACCTACCTACTGTATCTACCATATCTATCTGCCTACCTACCATATCTATCTATCTATCTATCTATCTCTATCTATCTATCTATCTATCTATCTATCTATCTATCTATCTATCTATATCTATCTATATCTACCTACCTACCGTATCTACCATATCTACCTACCTACTTACCTACCTCTAATCTTTCTCATCTAATATCATCTACCTACCTACCTTACTATATCTATCTACCATATCTATATCTACCTACCTACCTACCGTATCTACCATATCTATCGATTGATCGATTGTTTGATTAATCTCTTATCTACCTACCGTATCTATCTACCATATCTATCTATATCTACCTACCTACCTACTGTATCTACCATATCTATCTATCTATCTATCTATCTATCTATCTATCTATCTTTATCTATCTATCTATCTATCTATATCTATCTATCTATCTATCTATCTATCTTTCTATCTAATCTCTCTCTCATCTATCTACCCACCACCTATTTATTTATCTATCTATCATCTATCTATATCACCTATCTATCTACATCCACCCATCCAAAACTATAAGCATCCATCACTCGTGTGAGATGGATTTCCGTGTAGTTTCCCACCCAAGTTCTAATCAGGTTCAAGGATTCTAGGAGAAAGTTCCATAAAAGTTCTGTTCTTTGAAACATGAATGTCTGTTAAGGGAAGTTATTTCCTGAAAAGACATTGAATAACATTTTGCTGCAAAAATTCCAAAAGAGTCTGTGCAAAATGTTAAGGAGGAAAAAAAGATTTTGAAATTCAAATGCTTCTGCTTCTTGGTTCTCCTTACTGGTTAGCAAGAAGTGGGGCAGAAGGGGAAGAAAGAACACTTTATGCATGCTCAGAGGCACTCTTTTTAATGCTTTTTATTTTATATGCACTTTAATCTCTGCCTAAATAGAGATCTCCGGGGTAGATACTGGATCAAATGTCCTATTTTCCTTGTGGTTTGAAGTCTAGTTTTAGCTTACAAAGTGACTTTTTAAAACTCAGCTGGGAGTCATAGGGGTACAGAAGGAATGATGCGCCCTCTCATTTGGGGTAAAAACTGAAACAGGGCAAAGCGGGAAAGAACCTCCAAAGCAGCTCTTGAATTTACAAGCATATGTCAGAGGCCGGCTAATACATTCTGGTTATGACGAATTTTAAATATTTTTTAAAAGGGTTCTCGCCGGGAAGAGTCGTCCCATTAGCCCCGCATAGCGGCTTCATTGAGAAACACGGAAATGTGGTATACCCACTCAACCTCGCAGGGTCACCCTCTTGGGAGTGGGAAGGACCTCCTCTTTTTCTCCTCCCTCCCCCCCCCCACGCCTGCCCGATTTGTCCGTCCAATCAGCAATCGGAGCGCCGGCGTGACCGCCGCCGCCGCCACAAAGAGGGCGTCACCGCGCCTGCGCACACCTTTGCGGACCCGAAAGGGGCCTTCCGCTCCTCGCCTAATTCTCGCGAGACGTTCCCTTCCTCTTTCCAAGATGGCGGCGGGCGAGGTGGATGCTGCGCTGGCGCTGCTGAGCCGGGTCGCTGCGCTGGAAGAGCCGCTGGAGGAGCTGCGGGCCCTGCGGGTGGCCGTGCAGGCTCTGCCCCCCAGCGCCCTCCGCGAACGAGGCCCTGACTACCCTTTAGCCGGGCTCTTCGTCCTCATGGCCCGCGGGGATACGTAAGAATGAATTGGGAGGGGTTCCCTTACACCAAAGGGGCTAGTCCTCATGGAGGAGCTGGGGTCGTGCTGGGCGGGGCGCGGTGAGGTTGGGTGGTCCATGGGGCCGAATTTCAAGATCACAGGCTGACAGGTGCATGCATAATTGGGTGTGCATGTGTATACGTATAATCTACCTATATATCTTTCTCTATACAAATATAGAAATTTTCATTTCATTTCATTTTTATTAAATTTGTATACCGCCCTACTCCCGAAGGACTCAGGGCGGTGAACAGCCATAAAATAAAACATGTAGATACAAAATTTAAAATAGAGATAAAACTAATTAAATAAATTTGGCTGAGACATTTTAAAACCCCAATAAATTAAAACCAAATTTAAAATTCCATTTAAAAGAGGAAAAGTTTAGGTCAGGCCAGCTTGATGGAATAAAAACGTCTTAAATAAATACATGCACATTTATACACACATACTGTATGTATGTGTATAGATACAAATATGTGCCATACATACCTATATATGTGTGTGTGTATCTACTATATCTGTATATCAATCTACATCTATCATCCATCTATCTGCCTGCCTGCCTGTCTGTCTGTCTATCTAGCTATCTACCTACCTAAATCAATCAATCTCTCTCTCTCTATCTATCTATCCAGCTACATACCTACCTAAATCAATATCTATCTATCTTTCTATCTATCTACCTACCTACCTACCTACCTACCTACCTAAATCAATCACTGTCTGTCTGTCTATCTATCCAGCTACCTACCTACCTACCTAAATCAATCAATATCTATCATCTATCTATCTATCCAGCTACCTACCTACCTAAATCAATATCTATCTATCATCTATCTATCTATCTATCTATCTATCTATCTATCTATCTATCTATCTACCTACTTACCTACCTACCTACCTACCTACCTACATCAATCGATCAATCAATGTCTGTCTGTCTGTCTATCTATCACATCTATCCATCCAGCTATCTACCTACCTACCTACCTACCTAAATCTATCTATCTTATCTCTATCTATCACATATATATATATATATATATACACGTGCACGCATACACATAAATACAAATACATTTATACATATATATACACACAAATCTGTGTATACATTTCTATGTGTGTGGATGTAGAAAGTTGGGGGTGGGGGCTTAGTTGTAAACATGACTCCTGGTCTCCGGTCCCTCCTTTCTTTCTCTGCCTTTCCTCAAAACGTTGCTTTATAAATGTGGAAACTCTTGAAATGAGCGCAACATTGTTAAGGGAAAGCAACAACAGGATGGGAAAGTGATTGGCCTGTTTTTATGCTGTGTGCAGGTTATGCAGTTGCAGGTGGATGCTTGGGCTTGGGTTTTGGAAAGCGTATGATTAGTTTTCATAGAGAGTCCTTGAGGGGGTGGGTGGGGGAAGCCTTTGAACTTGATAACAACCAGTTCCACCTTGAAAATTTGTGTCAAGAATTTTCATAAAGGAGCGAGGTTGCTTATTTTGCACTGTATTGACGCCTTTCCTTATTTCATTAGCAAAACACCTGGGTTTTCCTTTCTCTTGCAAACAGGGAGCAGATCTCTTTATGTGTCTCGATCTTGGAGAGATTCCTGCAAGTCATGGATCCCTTGGATGTAATCCAAAACTTTGGGGAGGAGCTTCAGAAGGGACTGTTCCACCCGGATGATTCAGTCAAAATCCTAACCATCTCCCAAGTGCGTGTTACAATTCAGTTTTGTAATCTTGTCAAGGAGTTTTAAGAATGAGATGTTTTTATCCTGCCATGCGCTTCTCTGTTTTCATGCATGTGCTGCAGGTGTCCGAAACAACATTGGAGGTGATATAGGTAGTCCTCGACTTACGACCACAATTAAGCCCAAATTTTTTGTAGCTAAGCGAGATACTTGTGAACTGAATTTTGCCCCATTTTACAACTTTTCTTGCCACAGTTGCTAAGTGAACCATTGCCGTTGTTCAGTTAGTGACATGGTTGTTAAGTGAATCTGGCTTCCCAATTCACTCTGCTTATCAGAAGGGCGCAAAAGGGGGTGGCATGACCCCAGGACACTGCAACTGTCATAAATTTTATATGGTCATAAGACACTTTTTTTTCAGTGCCGTTGTAACTTTCAATGGTCTCGAAATGAACTGTTGTAAATCGAGGACTACCTGTACACTAACTTCGCCCTGTTTTGTGCTTTAATTACAGTCATCGCCTTAAAATTTTTGGCTAGTAAGTGTAATGCAAATGCTTCGAGCGATTTTTTTTCCCCAAAAAAAGTTTTTATTTTTATTTCTCATAAACACATTTACATGTACAGTCATTTATCCATCATTTTTCATTCATCTTAAAAGATAAGATTAACTTTCATTTTTAATTTTTACTTTTTCGGGGCTGCTCTTTTATCATTTACCTTTACCCCAACCTTTCTTCTTCTCCTCCCCTCCCCTTCCTCTTTCTTCTCCTACTTTCTTCGTTCTTCCTCTCCTCTTTCCTACTTCCCCTTCCCTTCCCCCACTCCTCTCTTCTCCCCCTCTTCTAACCTTCTCTTCTACTCCTCTTTCCCCTCCCTTTTCTTCCTCTCCTTTTCCCTTTCTTCTTTCTCCTCTCCTCTCCTTTCCTCTCTTCTCCCTTCCTCTCTCTCTACTCCTTCCCCTCCCTCTTGTTTTTTCCCTTTTCAGTTCAG